GAGGGCGGTGGTCGGAAGCGTAACCGGGCGTTGACGAAGCAGATTATTTTTGCCGAGTAAAAGCCAGACAGAGTTGGTGGGGGAAAGGGGGGGGGGGGGGCTCACGTTTGAGCCCTCTACCCCCAACACCCCCCCCCCACCACCCCCTTCGTGAGTGGCCAATCGATCTTGAGCCGTGAAATGTGCCACAAGGTTCGAAGCACGCCTTTTGAAAATAAAAATAATAATGGATATACAGGTCGTTAACTATATGATAATAATTAAATGCGGCTCGATTTACGGCCTTTGGTTATAAGCGAGCAAAGCACATATTGAGATCAAGAAAATCTCTCGTATGACGAGATAACCATCGAGAATGACACTTTTTCAGTTTTTGTGGTATGATAATGATGATTTTCTTCTAAACTTGAGCACACAATGGCCTCAGGAAAATGGCATCGCAGCATCTTCGTCATCCACTCCACAGTGAACCCCCATCACGTGCGCTCTGCGGAAGCACGAATCAAGATACAACGGGATGATTACCGTGATGGTCGGCTGGCATCCCTCCGGGTCTATCGTGTCAGACCACAGAGCCGATCGCCAGAATCTTTGCCCGCAATTTTCAGCGGACTTTTTTTTGTTATGCTCGTTTGACGATCAATGAATCGTGAACCCGGCTCGCCACGGGGGAACTCTAACGAGAGCTCGTGCCGAGATAAATTGCCGTCAAAACGCGTTGCCCGTCGACCTCCGAACGCGGAGATACGCGTGCGTACGTTGAACTTCTTTCGCACCGTACATAGCCAACCGCGCTTGACCTGCGGTGCGGGGGAAGGACGACAGACTAATACGCCAAAAAAAAACACAGTTCTGAAGATATTCGTTTTCATTGACACCCATGGACGGAATTAATGAATCGGTTACCTCCCATTCGTGTTGTTTCCTGAGAGGGCAACCAGTGGAGAAGAGACGGATCGATTAGATCGGCCCACGTGCCCGTGGCTAGGGTGGATTATTCACATCGCAGGATTGTGAGATAGTGGCGTCGGCTAGGGGAGGCTTCATCCGGCAGTGGATTGACCATGGCTGCTGCTGCTGCTGCTTGATGATGATGATTCATCACCGGTTGGCACGGCGCAATCCAGCTTACACAAGCCGCGGCGTATAAATATCCTTCCCGTTATAGTTTTAGGTTTAGAGGTTGTTGCTGCTGTTAAGGCCACAGTGATGTATGAACGTTTCTTTGGCAGACAGCTTTTGATGTGGTGGGGGCGGGGTCTCGGGACCTTATTAATGTTTTTCACACCCTCGGCATTCGAACTCTCTCTTTGTAAAGGTGACCAGCCTTCCTGGGGGGGGGGGGGTGAAGGGTCCTGCCATGGAGCTGGTAACGAAATTAGATTGGTTTCCAATAGCACAGACGTTTGATATTTCCGTTTTACCACCGTTGTAAATATTTCAGCACAGCTTCTCACACCCCACAGGCCGAGTACAAATGTGGACGCTGGCACCAAAAGAGGCATCACGCGAGATCCACGTGGTGGTGGTGGTGGTGGTTAGTAGACCGACTTCCACCCTCCCCCCCCCCCCCTGTCGCTTTTTTCGATGTCGCACTATCGCCGGGGACGCTTCGTTAGCTGACGCCGAAGCGTGGGGGGGGGGGGGGGGCAGGGGGCTTGGGGTGCTGCGAGTTTGAGAGATCGGTTTGACGAATTCGGAAGGCTTGTTGTTTGCTCGCTGCTGCTGCTGCAGCACCACCACCACCACACTCTCCCGTAAATGAATGCCCACCGTCGTCTTGTTTTGAGGTGCCGGTCGAAAAGCCGATCGTGTGACGCTTTCGACGACTCGAGAGGGCGCGGGCTTGAGAAACCCCGCCCCTCCATGTGCTGCACCGCGTTCACCCTGATGCACTCTTGCTCGGGGTGGTTCTGCGCTCGAATGGCATTTCTCAAGCGTTTAATGAACACTTTAGCAGTTGTAAGCGTCGGCTTTAACGATCATCGTGAGCGCGCGCGCGCGCGCGAACCTTCGTTTCCTCATTAATTGGCCGATAAAGACTCTCCATATGGAGAGAGGACCGCAGAGCTTGGGGCGATCTTTTTTTTTGCGCGTGGCTACTGCTGCCTTCCCCAACTGGCCTGTGGTTCCCTCTTCCTGCGGTTGTTCTCTCCATTCTCTCCATTCTCTCCATTCTCTCTGAGAGCCGAGCGACAACCGGTTGTGGGTGCCGTGTCGCGAGTCGAAATTGTTATTCTACGAATAATTGCTGTTCACCTTGGAAGAATTTCGGTTGGGCTCTGTTGACCCTCGGCCTCGTGAGCAGTCGAGACACAACGCGGTTCACGAGACGCGCACGTATACGTCGGGCACACACACACACATTTATGATGGGTGCATTGATCCTTCGATTAATTTCCATCGCGACGCGCGCGTTCGACGTTGCGAGCGGTGAGTCTCGACTCTTTCCACCCCCCCCCCCCCCGGTACTTTTGAGTCGTCGATTGTTAGCAATGGGCAAGCGTGCGTGACCCCCTTGCGGCCACGAGACGCTACCTTCGCCACGATGCTACACACGAGGACGGGAGTGATCCCTGAATCAATTGCCCCCCTACCCCACCCCCTGAAATTTTTGGTGACGGTTAACCGAATCGAGGCTATGGAGCAAATACAGCAGGTTCTCATATATCTGGTGTGTATTGTATGCAAGTGATTTGGGCGTATAGCTGATGTGAAAAAGTAATGTTACTGTACCAGTAATTGTGAAAAGTTGAGTTTAAATTGAATTTTTGATGTATAAAGATTATAAGTGCATCTCAATTCGCTCTGCATACTTAGGGGGAACATGCACATTGAGAAGTGAGGGGGGGGGGGGGGGTGTTAGACATTATTGAGGAATTATATCATGAATGTTTTCACTTTAAACAAATCACATCATGACTCATTAAAATAGGCGAAAGTTTGCCTAAAATGTTTATCCATATAAATTGCATCGAATTATATACATCATGCAGTTTTGCTCATTTGGGTTGATATCTGACTAATTATCTGTAGCCATGGATTACGAGAAAGGTGGTAATACCTGATAACATAGATGTGGAAATGGTAACCATGCAACTATAACGACGGCTCTTATGGGCACAATAATAATAATTATTTCCACCTCTCCATTTGTCAGAAAAGCCATGTGTTTTAATACCATGTTAGTTCCCTGAATAATACGTTTTAAGTGTTTTTTTTTACAGTTGCCCGTAAACAACAAATCTCTAACGTGTTAATGCCCAATTTTACTGCCACTGATTTTTGTTTTTGCTCGCTCCGTTTAGAATGAAACACGTAAATGATTTGTCACTAAAAGATCTGCAGTTCGTCTCTCTTTAGGAATGTATGCAAGCACTTTACACTGCAAATTACGTGTGGGTTCGGACAAAGAGTAGAACGCACCTTTTAACAGAAGCAAATCTAGCCTAGCAGTTCGAACATTCTAAGTTTGCAACAACAACAAATTATTCGTATTCTTGGTTCTTTCGGTAAAGTCACGGAGAAGGGAAACAATAAAAATAATAAAATATAAAACATTAAAATTCTCACGACGTTTCGACTGCAACACAAGCAATCATCATCAGGTGTGAAAACCACAGCAAGAAAAATATAAAACATTAAAATTCTCACGTTTAGACTGCAACACAAGGAATCATCATCAGGTGTGAAAACTACAGCTGTGGTTTTCACACCTGATGATGATTGCTTGTGTTGCCACAGCTGTGGTTTTCACACCTGATGATGATTGCTTGTGTCAACGTCGTGAGAATTTTAATGTTTTATTTTTTTTTATTATTTTGTTTCCCTTCTACGTGACTTTACCGAAAGAACCAAGAATATGAAGCCCTGCAGTCACGAAAGCTTTAAATAAAAAAAAAATATTCGTTTGCCGAAATTACGGATTTCATCAAAAAGGAAACCAATATATTTTTTGTTGCCGTCAGCCTGTAAGTGGAATGTACTTTGTGTGCGTGGGGTTGCGTGATAGTGCTTGTACAATTGTAACGCCCATCGCCCCAGAGCTTCTCCATCCTCGGTGTAAATACAAAGCAACGTGTGCCCAACATCATCTTCTGTGCAGCATCATTTAACTATAGCATAGCAAATGAAACATGGAATTGTATTTACCTTCTTAGATGTACTTTTCATTGTTCCTTTTAGCAAGTTTTATTTTGTTCATTTTTTATCGTTGTATTTAAGGTCAATAGAATGTTTTCGCCGTTTGTGTTTTAACGAGGGGTCCTTGCTGCGTATTGCTTCACATCAAGTCATTTTTGACGTGCGCTGGGATGTTTAAGGCTTGCCATCCCTCTGAAATGCGTGAGTGTAGTGGTAGCAATGTGAGTCCCATAAATTGTCGCGTGTAAACAATAGATTAGGCTGCATATCAGCTCTTGTCAAACCCAGCAAAATAAACATGACGTGGACCCAACATTTGTCTCGAATCGACTGGTTTTATTGAAGGATGTATCAGAGGTATCAGAGTGAGCTGCAGTGTCATATCTATATACACCTTAGAGTTTCCAATGTTACCCACAGTGGCAGATGATTTTCCTACAATGGAGATGTATTGCTATAATTGTGTTGAAAGAATATTTGCAAAACTCAATGTGCACTGAAAGTGAAACGTGAATGACCAAACAATTGACTACATTTCTACGTAAAATCTGACACTGTATTGAAGTTTTAGCCTTTTAAGAACAGTGCACATGTTCATCTTTCTCCAAAATGTCAATATGCATATATACTTTGCATGACTAACTGTACAAACATTAAAAAAAATAGAATAGACATTTAAATGTTCATTTTCAAAATTAGATTGCAATGACTATTGATAAACTCTGCAAATATTGCTTATCTATATACTTTGTTTAAAGTTAGCCAAATCGTCTTATTGCATTCACATCATTACACCAACTCACTGCTACTATATAAACAGCACATTTTATATCAGAATAAAACCATCACCAGCAATGTACATTTCCATCCTTTATTAAACCAAATTACAATGCACCCAAGTGTTTTATTTCAACGTCAAAAATAATCGTCTCGTGTACCATCCTGAAAGGTGAAACAAAAAGAGAAATAACAATTGCATAAAAGATATAGCTGCAGCAACTCATCACCCATGTAAACACCAAATATATGCTCGTAAAATAATCGCTTCGAAGTGCAATCATAATAACACCGCAACTGCCCATTCGTTTTGGTAACTTATGATGGATGCAGTATACAGTTAACTCTCAACTATCTGCAGAAATGTGAGGAGAGGGATTGCCTCTATAAAACAATACAGATGATGCAAACATGTGAATTCATTTATTAAAAAAAAAACATGTATTGCTAATTAAATATGGGGGTGAAGACAGACTGCCTGCCGTCTGTTTTTAAAGTAATCGGTTTGGTTAAACTATAAACAAATTTTATTTGACCAGATAAGGCCCAGAGCTATATAAGCGATTTTTCAGAAGCGACCTGGCCACATGATCACCCAATGAAGTGACTTATGTGGACATTCATAGTAGCTGAAAGGCATGTTTATAAATGTGGAGGGAAAAAAAAACAGAGGCCCTGGAGAAAAATCCACGTGACCACGGGGAGAGAATTCATACTCCAAATATTACAGACATCCGGGTCGGGATCGAACCCACGGTCTTCTACATATCCGGCGAGGTAGTTAACATGTCACCACCATGGCAACCCTTGGTTGGTCACATGTTCGCAGTTAACGTGGGCACAAAGTTGCTGAACGAGTGAAGAGCAGCTAATAGAACCTCCACGTGCATAAAGATTGCAGCTCATGGTAAAGCAGAAGGTACCCATTATAACATGGCAAGTTCAACACATCACCCCTACGGGGTGGATAAAATAAGCACACCAAGGCCAAGAGAACCACTTCGGAGGCAAGTCAAAGAGCGGTTTCTCCTCGTTGCGGCTCAGGGCTCCACTTGGTGGAAGCTACAAAATCCCTCGGGTTTTACAGTGTTGGGTGATGTGCACATGTGGATTGAATGGTAATTGCAATGCAAAAGCAATACTCAACAATGCACCGTCGCTGTGCTGAACTAAAAACCAGTTTCTCCGTGAAACTGCCCAATATTTTCGTGGCCACGTGGCGAAAGCGCTGATGACGTTGCTGCCATCGTACACCGGTAACGCCATCCACCTGCATACTGAAACATGACTGCAAAAACTTCGAAGCCGGTTTGTAGCCCAACCCTATGAACTGGAGCCATGTACCACCAATGGCTGTCCCTGTGTGTGGACTAGAACATTCAATCACTAAAAATGGCTCAGGACTGTATTCAGGAGATATGCATCACCGATTACTCATTTCATTATTAAGACACTTATTGTGAATGCTTTCTACATGCATACATGCAAAATGGGGAAACAGCTTTTATCGTGTTTGACCTTATGGAAATTTAAATTGATCAGCTATTTTGCACAATTCACTACCACAAAGATGTATTGTGTATCGTGACTTCCAATAATTGGAATTTGTAGAAATGTGTTCATCCCTGATATTTCAGATGTGCAACTGATTTGGAGCATAAAGACGTATGCACACATTGCAAACTCAATGGTACATTTGTATTGCATTCCAAAAGTAGATGTAAATCAGGAGCCTAAATCAACATAAATCACATTTCACCTCGTGGTGAAAAAAACAGTGCATACTTATAAATAGGCCCGTGATGATACACCCATAAAAATTACATGAATGGTTATCATTGTGAAAATAGTGCCTCAGGGATAACGTTGACAAATTACATTCAACAAATATGAATAACAAAAACGATTCGCAAGCAAGATTTCATGCAGGTCTTTTGAGCTTTTACAATGGATTTTTTTAAATCAACCACTGCATAATATCTCTCCTGTTAATGAACTGAAAACATGGGTATCTTTAATACATTTTCTAAATGTCGCACAGCTGAGTGATTTAAAATTGGACAAAGTTTGAGGAACACGTGACCACCAAAACATGCTGGCAAAGAGATTCGACATGTAAATGTTTAAACATTCATGCAAGTGATCCCCTAGTCAAGCAACTAACATTTGTTTTAAGACTAAAGCACCTTCAACTAGCCACCAGTACTATTAACCTGCTCACGCCCCCTCTAAATAAATAAACCTGAAACCAAAAACCCATTACAAATTTAAATCTCAAAAGGCAGGAAGTTTCCTTATGTGCTTTAATTATGGGAATGCACACGAGGGGTGGATATGCTAGCAGACAACAGTTGAAGTCTACAGTTGAATCCAGACCACCAAGCATGAATGTGTCAACTTCATTCTGCCAGCTTCGATAGAGCCAGGAATAGCGGCATCCTCAACCTAACTGGGCCCAGAAGTCATTCATGTTTTATCTTATGTGTGTTAGAGGAGAACAGCCAGTAGACTAATTGGTAAGATAGAATATTCATAATAATTTACAGCCCCCATGTCGATTCAACACTGGATGAAGCGCTCTCCCCCCCCCCCCCCCCCCCCCGTGTTATTGATCATGGGGATTGTTTGACCAAACTTCACAATTCTGGTCAGTGCTAGGGTTCAGATATCACTCGTCGCTGATATGAGCAGTGGTGGGGAATTCAATTCGAATCGCTGGGTTCAGACAGCAGTGAGTTAACCTTGGGCCATTGCGCCACTGATAAAAAAAAAAATTTGGCCAAAAATGTTCAGTTTTAAAACAAGGCATTTATAACGAGAAATTAACATGACAAAAAGCGTATTATATAGCCTGAATCCTAAACTATCGTTAGTCTCTTGAAGCATACATTTCAGGAACCCACTGCCTTAAAATTTACAAATAGGGCCTTGAACTATGCCAAAATGGATTACCAAGTCCAAACATTTGCCACTATTCTGAACTAACCTGCCAGACTGGGTTTCATCCCAGATGTCATGAGGTGTGGCCAATATAATTAAATCCTTGACTGATAGCTTTGCAAGCGAATTACATTCATCATATTTAGCCACTCCTTGCATTGGTATTCTGCACCCAGTTTTACAAGGTTGCTACATTAAGGGAAAGCTGGTGTGACAAACATGAATGAGCAAGGGAACGGCTGCATCAACTCTGGCATGCAATTCAGTAGTTGGGAGGGGTCCAAATAATAAAGTGCTTGTGTGGCTTGGTTAAAAATGCTGAACTGTCCTCAACAAGCAGCCTACACACCCCGTACCTACAATATTTCACCCATTTAAGCATTCTGTTAACAATAACCACGGCACCATCTGGATCGCAGTTGGGCAAACACCGTCACGCAGCAACAACGACAGCAGCCGGCGATCAGCGCTTACGGCAAGTCCAGCATATTGTGCTCGGTGTAGACGGCCTGGGAGACATCGTACACCTTCTCGATGGCAGGCACGGCCTCTCCGAGCATGGCAACCACCTGCTCCTCGGCACCCACGTGCATCACCTCGAAGAAGGCGCTGCGCGTCGGCAGCAGGCGGAAGGCCACGGAGGACGCCTGGCGCACGATCCACGGGTGGTGTTCCGACAGGGAGCGGTCGTACGCCTCGGAGCACATCGTAGACGGACGGTCGTTCTCGCCGCTCGTGCGCAGCCGCTCCAAGAAGAGGCGCAGCCACAGCAGGGCGCGGTGGAGGCGCAGGAAGGTGCGGCAGCCGGAGGGTGGGACGCGCCTGGAGGCGGCGACGAGGTCGCCGGCCTCCAGCTCGAAGCGTGCCATGGTCTGCAGCGAGCGGTAGCGGTCGGCGTGCGGGCCAGTGCGGTAGGCCTCCAGGATGTCGAGCTTGCTGACCGCGTCGCTCGAGATGAAGGAGAACATCGTACCCAGGCTGTTCATGAACCTGGGGGGGGGGGGGGGGGGGGGGGAGAGAAGTGTCACACACACTTGTGATGGGACCAGAACTCCCACGGCTCACACGTTTTGGTATCTGGCAGGCCTAATTATCGTGTGTGAACCCGTACTTAAATAGTTATGAATGTAGAGTAACGTGAAAATGATTGAACAATAATTGATATTTTGTTATTAAGGTAATCATTCCACCACTCACTCCAAAATCTGCTGCCCTCATGCCACTACACAACCTCATGCCAACCGCAATTTGCACATTCAAACTCGAGAGGTCTCTTATTGAAACCGAACATTTCTAAAAATACAGTTCTCCATTAGCCTGAGGCTGGTGGTAACACAGAATATCAAGTATTTCATACTGTTGTTTAGTTAGGAAGTTCAATTCTTAATACCCCAGCGAAGACAAATATAGTGCATGTTAATGAATGCTTGGCAACAGAAGGCAATGTTTATTAGAATTGGACAAACCCAAAAAAACCAAAATGTCCTTAGTAGATGCAAACATTTTTCGACTTACAAAACATATTGACCCTTGGTTTGAATAAACAATGTCACAATTGTTTTTTTTTGTAAGTTCAGTATGACCTTTATATAAATCCAACTATATCATTAGATCTCCTTTGCCAGTACCAAAATATAATAGGGGTTTTCCCCTTTTTTTCTGGCAACAAAACTGAAACCTTTTTACAAGGATTCATAGCTTATCATAGTATGTTTTTTTTGTTTGCAGGTATTGTGGTTAATACAGACGTGAATCCTTGTAAAAAAAAAGGTTTCAATTTTGTTGCCAGAAAAAAAAGGGGGAAAACCCTATTATTAAATCCAACTACATAAGAAAAAATAAAAATTGGGACCACACCGACACGATAATTTACCTACTTTAAAAGATACATACTGTATATAAGCAGAACTCGATCGTGTGTGTTCAGCCCATCGGCCTATTGGCTTACAGATAAATAGTTTCAAACAGCATTTTTGATTAAGAAAGCAACCGCTTGGACCGGTTTCGACCTTCATGTGCATAAGGGAAACCACGACACAACATCCACTCAAGCATTATAGTGCACACCACAGCAATATAAACAACACTGCAATGTTAAAACACTTACTACATAGAGGATCTTTATCTAAAATATATATACCATCTTGTGGAACGATAAAGACCAAAGCGACACCATAATTTGACAAAAGCATTGGCAAGTGCATTAATTAATAAAAGTCAATCATGTGCTTGTAATTTTTTTTTATAGCATTAATGATGAATTGCGATGGGTTTGTTAAAATAAACATTGGTCAATAGTGAATATGAATGCGTTGGTTAAATAAAAGACATCAATCACTCCATCAATGATGGATCTCAATAGTTTGGTTATATAAAGGTCAATCAATACTCATGAATCTCATAGGGCCGCTTACAGAAACATTACCAATAAATCAATAACCATTAACCTTGCATATGCATGGTTTTTTCCCCTTTCTGTACTACATAGTTTGTGGTTTGGTTCCCCCCCCCCTCCGTCTACTGGACGTATTGATTGTATCAGAAAGATAATCGTGAGGGCAACAACGAAGCTTAACTCAGACGTAACGTGCACATTGACCAAAGTACTTTATTGCAAGCAAGCTTAAGATGACGGCTCACGCAGTAACTCACCAGGTACAGACGCTTATAGACACACACACAGAGTCACAGATAGTTGCACAGACTCAACAATCACCAAGTGTAAAAAAATAGATTTTACCCCCTTTTAACTGGCACAAAAAACGACACCTTTATTCAAGGCATCACGTTTGCAATAACCACAACACAAGCAGTCATAATGCAAACAAAAAAAGAGACAACTCTGATAATAATATTGGCACTGTCCTTGAATTTAAAAGGCGTATGTCTTCTGGTCCAACACCAGTGGACTCTAAAGAAAGCCGTCTCGGGTGTAGAGCAATACAATTCAAGGACAGTGCCAATATTATTATCAGAGTTGTCTTTTTTTAGTTTGCATTTTGACTGCTTGTGTTGCGCTTATTGCAAACATGATGCCTTGAATAAAGGGTGTCAGTTTTTGAGCTAGTTAAAAGGGTAAAACCCTATTACTACATCTTGTTACTGGCAAAGGAGGTCTCTCAATGTAATCACCAAGTGCTTGGTTGGCGTTATACCACGGCGCTTTGTGCCAGGCTACGTGCACGCTGGCCCTCAACGCTCCCCCCCCCCACAACAACAACAACAAAGCACACACGAACGCCACGCACAGTAGACACAACCAACACGACTGTCTGGTCGTGGAGGAGAAGGAAGAGGAGGAGGAGGAAGAGGAGAAGAGGAGGAGGAAGGGTTTCACGTCGCTCCTCACTTGATAAGTCCCCGCCAGCCCTGCGCGTACTCCTCCAGCAGCACCTCGCCGCGCTCGTCCAGGCAGAGACGGAAGGCGTCCAGCACGTCCCGCAAGCAGAACACCTCCTCCTGGCCGCCGCCCTTACACTCGGTGGCCATGGCTCCCTCCTCGTCTCCTCTTCCTCCTCCTCCTCGTCTGCCCTCCTCGTCGCCTTTCCCTTCCTCGCCTCGTCCCCCGCCTGGCCTGACGCTCTCTCCTCCTCCTCCGATCCCCTGTCGTGCGAGTTCACCTCGACCCGGTGGATGTCCTCCGTCCCTGCTCTCGTGTTCACCTCCTCGAGCTCCCTCACCTCCTCTGTCTCCACCTAGTCCTGCTCCCTCACCTCCTCGTCCTCGTCGTCTGCTGCCTCTCGCTTCCTCGTCCGGGTCCAGGTGAAGGCCGCCGGGCGGGGCCTCGCGGGGCGCGGCCGCAGTCGCCTGCGTTGGCCCCAAACGTTACGAGAACTTGATGTTAGAAAAAAAAATAAAGTTAATTATTACTACGACGACTGGGGCTGCTATTATTAAGCAGCAGCGCCACTCCCTGCTGTGTGTTGTATGACGGCGTACAGCGAGCGTCTAAGAGGTGATACTGTACGACTGTACCTGCCGCACGAGGCGTGGCGGTGCTGCCGCGATCCATTTAACGACCACAACGCGGCGCTGGGCCGCCTCGCGCCGCAGATTCGTGGCATCGCTGCCGCAGTTGAATAGCGCCACCCCCCACCCCCCATCCCCCTACCCCAATCCCCCTACCCCCCCACTCCCCATCCACCCCCATCCCCTCCCCCCAACCCCCTCCCCCCATCCCCCCTCCTCCCCCACCCCTACCCCCTTCCCCCTAACCCCCTCTTCCCCCCTATCCCCCTCCTCCACCCACCCCCCTGCTCCTCCCCCCACCCCTCCCTCCTCACCTCACTCCCTCTCCTCCCCCCACACCCCCTCCACCCTCCTCCCCCTTCACCCCCACCCCCTCCATCCCCCCAACCCCCGACTATTCCCCCACCACCCTCCCCACCCCCTACCCCATCCCAGGGCAGGAAAAAAGCCAGTTCCACATTCTGCGCGGCGAGATTCAAACATGGGGGGGGGATTTAAACCGCTGTAAGAATATCCCCTTTACTCAAATAGTGACATACTTATTCTTTGGGTCTTTCCATAAAGTTACGTACATAGAAAAAAATAACAATAAAATAATAAAAAAATGAAGTGAATAAAAAATACTCTTTGGGTCTTTCGGTAAAGTCAGTAGATAGAAAAATAATAAAATAATAAACTATTTTAAAAATCACGACGTTTCGATCGCTTCGCAACGTGACTTTACCGAAAGACCCAAAGAGTATGAATTCCTGCAGTCACGAAAGCTTTAAGTCAAGAATAAAAAAATATATAAAAAAATATCACGATGTTTCCATCGCAACACAAGCAATCATCATCAGGAGAAAAAAGAGGGGGAAAGCTGCTGAGGCAGGCTGTTTTAAAGGTTTGAAATGGGTGTAGCGGCAGACATGGGCAAAGTACGGCCCGTTGGGCTTTTTAATAAAATTTTACCTTTCTCCTGTAATGCCCCCATTACCCCATTAGATGGCGAACTTTGACCATCCATCTGTTCCTGGCCCGGCCCCTTTGTCAAATTTTTGAACCCACTTTGGCCCGCGAGTCAAAAAATTTGCCCACACCTGGACTGTAGCCCAAGGGTCATAAACGAAGTGGGCGGGGCTAGTTATGTTAATGTAAGAAATTTGCATGTCAATGTAAGATCGGAGAGCGACCTCCACGACGACGAAGGCACGGAGGTGGCCATTGTCTTGTGAGATATTAGCATGTCAATGTAAGATCGCAGAGCCACCGCCACATCGAGGACACGAGCGACGGCGGCTGTGTTAGTGTGAGACATTTAACCTGTTAATGTAAAATCAGAGATTAGCATGTCAATGTAAGATCGCAGAGCCACCGCCACATCGAGGACACGAGCGACGGCGGATGTGTTAGTGTAAGACATTTAACCTGTTAATGTAAAATCAGAGATTAGCATGTCAATGTAAGATCGCAGAGCCACCGCCACATCGAGGACACGAGCGATGGTGGATGTGTTAGTGTAAGACATTTAACCTGTTAATGTAAAATCAGAGATTAGCATGCAAATGTAAGATCGCAGAGCCACCGCCACATCGAGGACACGAGCGACGGTGGCTGTGTTAGTGTGAGACATTTAACCTGTTAATGTAAAATCAGAGAGTCGAAAATAACGGCTAACATCGGAAGGTAGGATGGAAACATCACAGCCAGTTATGACTTAAACTGGTTAATAACGTCCTTCCAATGAATGCTCAGTTTGTACTCTTCTCGGTTGAAATTGTGTCTGTGTCTGTATACCTGGATGGCTTCATGAACGAATCTTTGTTGATAGCCAGTGGGTTTGCAAAGTACCTTCGTCTTAGAGAAATCAATTTCGTGTGAGCCCACCGCATTAAAACAATTATCAGCCGCGGCTGAGGTATTGGTCCTACAGTATTTCAGATCTGCCTTGTGTTCACGAACACGGTCCGAGACATGTCGCTTAGTTTCCCCAATGTAACTACTGCCGCAGACACAGCTTAGTTTGTAGACGTCGGGGGTATGTCAGGGATCTCATCCTTCACAGATGAGATCAGATCCTAAATTGTATGTACTGTGTTAAAGCGAACCTGGATCTTGTGTTTGCTCATGATTTTGGAAATCTTTTTAGTGACCCCTGCTATGTATACCAATTCAGACCTTATTGGTCACACCGTTCCCCTTATACATCTCAACGTTCATCCTACAAAGTCCCATCACAAGAAGAGAAACACAAACAAATAGACAAGAAAAAATAGTTGTTGCCCGTATAGAAACGGCTGTACGCCGTATGAACCTGAAAACTCGATTTCCCTGTACAGGAATACGGGGCAAACCGGCTAGAGAGCGTTGGCAATGCGGTGTTGGTGGCACCAACGATATTTAACCCCGACGACATCTTGATATGGAAACATGTGGCAACAGCCCAGGCTGATGTGTCCTAGAGATTACAGCACTAAGTTATACGTAGGGGGGATTCCTGATGGCTGTACATTCTTAAGCTGATATGACTGACATTATTTGCCGAAAAGAGCTGATTTTCGTCACGCCTCCTTTTCACTCTGCTATCGCTACTACCGTGGTTACTATCGCTCGTTGATTCCTCCACCCATGCTTGAGGACTCGGGTCGACCAGGCTCAATGTTCCATCTCATCCGTCCTGTGTTCAACCATCGTCGTGCCAGCAGCTCACAACAAAACAATCACGAAGTGGCGGTAACGTCACTACGGGAGGTCACAACGCTTTCTCTTCCTGCCTCTTCTCTCACACTTCTCCCTCTTTGAAATTTGCTCCAATCGTCTCTCTCACTTTCCCAAGTTCCCGTAAACCTTGCTCAGTACAAGCAACGTTTTCACCCTTATTGTCGTTTACACATTTGACCCTGCTGTGTTGTTGGTGGCCGTTTGAAGTTCCGTGCCTGTTACTTAACAACTGTCTTAAAAACAACACACACACACAAGACCCTTCACGTACAAATGTACCGGCTCGCTTCTTAGGAACATGAATGTCGTTCAAGCGATGGCTATCATCTGTAATCCAGCGCTTTGGAACCAGGGGCTGATGGATGATGTAAGAGCAGTGTTATTCACTCATTTTCAGAGTGGGGCACTTTTGCCGATAAGACATCAGCGTGAGGGCCACCGCACATTTGAAACCATTGGGGTTGGACAGCAGCACGATTGGGGGCGTTTTCAAATGTGTGTATTGTCGGGGCCGCACATCAGGGGGGCTTCACTAAAGGCCACGAGGGACCGCCAGTGGCCTGCGGGCCTTGCAATAAAGAACACTGCTGTCGAGATTGATCAAACTCCCCAAACCCACTGGACCAGGAGGTGGCAGCATAGGAGATGACAAAGCAAAATGGCTTTGTGCACCCCTTTGAGTGGTATTCCCTTGGATATGGGAAGGCTGGGTGGCTCTAACGATAGCACTTGCGTCTCACGGCACGAAGGACCTGGGTTCAATTCCTGGCTCGGGCGCCACTTTGAGCGGCGTTGCGCGTTCTCCCTCTGTTCCGCACGGATTATCCTCCAGGTGCTCTGGTTGATAATTCAAATCTTTCAATGGTGAAGAAACCCCATCACAACAGAAATAACATCCTCGTCAGTTACAGATCTGAATTACTGCACTGTTTGTGGGCGGTGAATTGGTCAGGGCGGATACATGACATTGTACTGTGTTGTTATTTCCATTTGAGTGATATTGCTCTATCTTCGAATGTTTGCTAAACTCAAGGTTGTTTTCCCCCTGCCAAATGAATGGGTTGTTTCACTATTGGTCAATCATTAAACTGGCCGTTAAATCCCCAGCAAACTGTACAGCGTGTTCTGAGTGCACTGCAGTTAACATGCATTCAATTGTCTATACCACCTTGTGTTCCATATCTATACATAAAGTAACATTTATGTCAGTCCATCAGCCTGTTGGCCTTGTGGATGTACGGTAAGCAGCACCATTTGTTCAAACACAAACATTCTGGGCCGGTTTTCAGTCTTTTGGGGCTCATCAGCAGTGTTAATGCATTTATAATTGCACTGTAGTGGAGGTTCTTTCCTTTTAAAGAGGACCCATTCCATTCACCAGCACCCTTGAGCCGTAACGATGGCATCCCATGGGCCCTGGGACTGCCGGGTGTACAGGAGGACGTGGGTTCGATGCACACCCTGATGCCTGTATATTTGGAGTTTGCATGTTCACCCCGTGGTCGCGTGTGTTTTTCTCCAGGTCCTCCGGTTTTTCCCTCCACATTTATATAATCAATAAATGTCCACATGATAACTTTGTTGAGCTATCATTTGTGCAAAGGTTGCTTCTGAAAAAGAGCTACATAGCTCAGTGGGCCTTCCCTGATGAAATTATAAATCGTTTAGTTTTGGTTTCAAACACACTATGGCACTAAAATCTGCCTTCTGCTGGGTTCTGGTGACAGCACCACTGCACCTGACCAAATGCTGTATAGAGTTGTCCAGTTTTTGGAGAGCCTACCTGTCGCCCGTGTGCCTCGGGCCACTGCAGACGGATGGGCTGGAAGCAGTGGACCCAAGATGATCCAGGGCCACACAGCGAGGGTGGCCTCACTTGAGACTCGGGCCTCTTGTGCCGGCGTGTCGCACGTGAAGGCCTCGCCAACTCAGGCCATACGGGTTCATCCAATGCCTCGTCCACCGGCACGGGTGTGTCTGCCGACGCAACAACTGCACATCACCGTCACCATCGACTCTCCTGCGGTACCGCGTCTTGTCCGGCACGACGTCCGGCGTTTTTCTGCATGTCCTGCTTCAAGAACTCGAATCGAAATTAGTTCCTGAATCAGTTTTGCCGTACGGCACAGCCACAAAAACCTAAACAGCAGTGCACATCGTCGGGGTCAGCGTGAAGGTGTTGCTTGTCTCTTTACAGTTTGGTCCATTGACCTTTGGCTACCATTGCCATGATTATCGTAAATACCAGGTGTGTGACCATTCACTTCCCGCACATCGAAAATTTGATGGAGGTTCGTGATTCGACAAAAAATGTAAATATATTTAAACTGCGAGGAATTTCATAACTGCAATATAGTGGCCCCTTAAAATCACATCCGCAATAGGCTCGCTGTGCTGGGACCACCGCTGTTTTACGTTAGTATGTTGAACCTCTTTCGCACCATACGTAGCCAACCGTGCGAATCGGAGGTGACATCCACATCACAATCAGAACGCTCGCTTGAGTCGTCCGTTAGTCCTTAAAACAAAAAAGACGGTGTCAGACAACGACTGGAATTTTACGTTTCAGTCCTTCCACACTGGCTCGCTGGCCCCCATGGCCCCCACAATCTTCACATCAGCGTTTTATTTACGACCCCAGTGCACACGCGGCAGCCTTCTGGACTTTACCTTCCAAGTGTGATTCGTGGTCTTTGCTTATCTCGTATTCCGTGCCTGCGGACACAAACGGATCAGATGACTGATTCCACTGCGACTGGTTGTAATATCCACACTCGTTTTTCTGATTAACTGCATTTTGCAAGATGCTTTACACATGTTTTAATTTGTGGCATTCGTCATCTGGACCATGGGAGATTGCTTTGTGGGGTGGGGTGTGGGAGGGATTGATCATGGCTGATAGAAGTAAAATGCAAAGATACAGCTCTGGCATTACTTGCTCGCGTCACTGCTCTAAGGAAGGAGACATCCACTGTAGGTGACCTTGGCCTACTCGTCCACGCTTGCCCGACGTCTTGTAAGAGGTGGGAGTACCCACACTTTGGCCCACCGCACGCAACTGTGTCTGGTGCATCCATTTATACCGCCTGGCTGGATGCAGGTGCAGTGCCGGATTATTATTCTAGAAGCAAAAGTATCTACATATGTAGTAGCTGTTACATATGTAGTAGCTACTACATATGTAACAGCTACTACATAGTAGCTACTACATATGTAGTAGCTACTATGTAGTAGCTACTACTTAGTTACTACATAGTAGCTACTACATATGTAGTAGTAGCTATGTAGTAGCTGTTACATATGTAGTTACTACTACATATGTAGCTACTACATATACCTTAATTATGGCGACTTTTTCTGATATAATCGTAAACTATTTTGACACCGATGGTTGTACGGTATAGATGGGCAATGGGGTACCTCTACAATTCGTCGTATATACAAGTAGTAGGTTCTGTACCATGTTACGATCCACAATCCCATCTCTAGTAGTAGTACCTACTAGTAATTGTAAGTTCTGTACCACGTTACGATCCACCATCCCATCTCTTTGCTTCGATTTAAGTACTTTCAGTTTACGTTTTGGTTTCAGGAACGCCATCCTGGGCATTCTGCTACTGATGCTCCTGCTATTATGGAGTGACTCATGCAGCCAGCTATGGCTGCGGGGTTTGATCGTACATGTTATGTATATCGTTTGTTGTTAGATTTGAATCACAGTTCCTATGATTACTGTTACATTGTTTTTGTGGCTTTATTTTGGTGATTTTGAGGACGGTTTGGTCTGGCTATGTTTGTTGTAGTACTGAGTTGGCCTGATAACTGTAATCTACATTGTCTTATGGTTGTTATTGTTTGACGTGCATCCGATTGAGATTTTTGCACACATCGTTGAAATGCGGTGTTGTTTCTGGAAGGCTTTGCTGTTTTTTCCAGGATGTTTCTGTTGCGTGTAGTCACTTTAATATTTTTCTTGTTCATGTTTTTGTTTTGTTGCGGTTGCACCCGAGTCAAGAGCCGCATGGCTCACAGGGTTATACCTAATAAACGAAACTGAAACTAAACCGGGATATGCCTGTATCACTGTTGGTGCAATAGCCATGCCACTCCCGTGCATCATCTGCATCATCCGCTTCAAAGCGGACGTTAAAGATCCCATGACTTCACTCGCAAGAGTAGGCCATCGTGTGTGCCGGCGTAATTGTACCAATGTTTTGCCAAATTCGAAAATTGCACTGCAAATTACTCAATTGGGATTGTACATGGTAATGATCGCGCCCCCTACTGGCAAACTAATACCACAAGTCACTCTATTGCAAATGAGACTTCATCCCAGGTCTCTGGAGTTCTCACCCGGCTAAACTAATGAACATACAACAAGTACAGGTCAAAACTTAAAACATATTTACAGCAGTATATTAGTGAGTTTAAATGTTTCAAGTATATAACCTACAACGTGTTAAGTGACACTGTTTTAAATACAAATATGCACGCATATATTTAGACATTTCTTATAAAGTATATATTTTAAGTACGGTATACATTTCTTAAAGACAATACAAACTTGCACGTGTCATACTCCATTCATTACAAAAAATAGGCACCTAATTTAATGGAACGTGTCTAAAAAAAGCCTAATTAAAACTTTTTATTTTACCAGGTAAGGCCCATTGAGCTGTATAGCTCTTTAACAGATGTGACCCGGCCACAAATGATAGCCCAACAAAGTGGCTTATATTGTGGAAATGTACACAAACCGAATTACTCCGAATGCATGTTTTTAAATGTGGAGGGGGAAAATCGAAGGACCCGAAGAAAAATCCATGCGACCACGGGGAGAGAGAGAGAGACACGCAAACTCCAAATATATAGCAGGCGTCAAGGTTCAGGAATCGAACACACGACCTCCTGCATACCAGGCGAGGTAGTTAACATCTCCTAGCCACCGTGGTGTCTGGCAGTATGTGCAGTGACGAGACGGAGTAATACATTCAATTTGCGTGCAGTTGGATAGTATTACATCACAGGATCGTGAGAGGTGGTTGGGGCTGCCTTCATCCAGCAGTGGATTGACCACGGCTGAATGGTAATCGTGATGATACACGGGCTGGGGTTCAAACATCGCTGACAGTTTATATGGCAACTGTACACTCCTTCGTCAAGGCATTAAAATCTCTGACTCACGAACACGACTGCACGTATATATACTGCACATGCACTGGTGTCACATTACTGGTTTAAACTGCATCCCCAGAGACGACAATCACAGAGATGATTATCAATCCACCTCTCACCTGCGTTAGTATACAACTCCGCCAATATATTTGTACGAGAGGCGGAGGGGGGGTTATGCATAACTGCACTATGAACCTGACTACCCGAGTTCATTTCCCGGCCACGGTTAACATAAGTTAACCCCCTCCCCTAACCTTTACCAAAACCTGCATTGAAGTCAACTCAAATAGTAGCAGGAATCCGGCTAGCCATGAAGCTATTCTTCACAGTTATATCCAGTATGGGCTGGTCAGCGGGTTACAACATCAAACAAATCAAAATACAATAGAGAAAACGTCAAGCGAGTCACCATGAATCGTACGAGTCCCGATCTATCAAGAACGAAGTCATCACTCACCCCTGGGTCGCTGCAAGATGATGACGAGGATGTACAGGGCTAGAGCAGCGGCGGCCAGGTGAAGACCCCAGCGCCTGGCGAACGCCCCAGCCATGTGCCAATGTGACCGCGTGTTCGCGTGGTGGTCTGCGTGTGCCTCTGGGGAGCGGTGGGACAGCGGTTAGGGGCGCTCTGCTACAACAACAACAACAACAAAAAAACCCGGCGAACCGAGTTCGATTCCTGCTCACGGACACCGACACCTGTGACCATTAATCTGAACCAGTCATGGACCTCCCCTGTGGGCGATGTTGTAAACATCGTCACTGTGGGGAGACGAAGGCGGCCGGGCGTGGTGCTGGCACACCCACCACCTCGTGTGCCGTGCCGGACTTCGCAGGTGCTCGCTAACAGCACTTGCCCCAAAAGTATGCTACGGCTAAAGGAGAGGTTCTTAGTCGCTGTGTGTATGACTGTGTGTTACTGTGTCTGTGTGTGTGACTGTGTTCCTGTGTCACACAGGAACACAGTCACATACACAGAGACAACGTCACACAGTCACACACACTGACTGTGTTACTGTGTCTCTGTGTGACTGTGTTACTCTGTCACTCTATGTGTGACTATGTGTTACTGTGTCTCTGTGTGTCTTACTGTGTCTGTCTGTGTGTGTGTGACTGTGGGGAGCGATGGTGTAGTGGTTAGCGCTACGCTGCGCTACGAACCTGGCGACCCGGGTTCGATTCCCGCTCACGGCCAACACCAGTGACGATTATCTGAACCGTTCTTGGGCCTCCTCTAGGTCGACTCAGCCTCAAATGAGTACCTGGTGGGGTGTGTTAACATCGCCACTAGGGAGACAAAGGCGGTCGGGCGTAGTGCTGGCCACCCACCCCCTCGTGTACCGTTCCGGCCTTCATAGGTGCTCGCTAACAGCACTTGCCCCTACAGTCTGTTAAGGCTGTGTTACTGTCTCTGTGTGTGTTACTGTCTCTGTGTGTGTTACTGTCTCTCTGTGTGTTACTGTCTCTCTGTGTGTTACTGTGTCTCTGTGTGTGTGTGGACTTCGTGTGCGTTGTGACTATGTGCCACCGAAGGTCAGCACTTTCCAGATAAACAGCTTACTCGTGCAAGGCTATCAACAAAATCTATCTTCTGTTCTCCACGTCAAATTCGCTGCGTTTGCATTGCGCCTTGCAGCAGCACACAGTGACCTGTCAATGCCCGTGTGAAAGATCGCTCCGATCCAAGTTATCCGACTTTTAAACGCATCAATAAAACGTGTGCCGAGTAACGTTCTCCATTCGTTATGGTGTCAAGTAATGCGCTTTACCATACGTATTCTTGAGTCTTGAGGCTCGTTGTTAGGAGTGCATTACTCGGGATGTTTCACTGTTACGTGCGGTAAATGTTGGAACAAAATAAAATACTGGAGCGATCTGCAAACAGTCCACGTAAATCCTCGACCAATCTTCAACGCTCGGCTGATCGAGCTGAGCAGCGGACTCGTAAATCTGCACACGCGCGCGTTCCTGACTGCCTTGCAAGGTGGGTGCCTAAACACGTCGGCGTTTTAACGGCAGTCCCAATCCCCAAACGTAATTGACGCACTGCACATCATCACAAGATAGGGTGCGTTTCGAAATAAAATATGCTGAAGTTTAATATTAATGAAAAGATGAGAACTTTCAAATAGACGTCACATTTTAGATGCATCTCGTTCGGTTTGCAAGGTACTTTATTAAGCTTATGCATTTCAACAACCGGAGTAGATCTTCCCCCCGTAAAGCCGCCCAGACTTGTTTAACAAATAAATCAACGACGGCGAGACAACATTGAAGATTAACCCACGCAGCATACCAGCTTGCAATTGATTTCAATCCATACTGAACAGCATAACGAAAGAAGAACCGGCACTTTCACATCAATTTATTCTTTACCATCATCTCTTAGTTACAGGGACTCCTCCACTTACGAACGAATTAGGTTCCAGAGGTCTGTTCGTAAATCGGTTCGTAATTTGACTCCTGTAGATTCCAAACATGTTGTACGGCATGTACACTAAACACGGGGAATGACTTTAAAAGTTGTATAATCTCCGGTATATGTAGATGCCACTGGATCTTCATGTTCTGCAGATGTAGATGTCACTGGTTCTTCATGTTGTGTCGATGTAGATGTCACTAGCTCTTCATGTTCTGCAGATGTAGATGCCACTGGTTCTTCACGTTCTGTAGATGTAGATGCCACTGGTTCTTCATGTTCTGCAGATGTAGATGCCATTGGTTCATCACGTTCTGCAGATGTAGATGCCACTGGTTCTTCATGTTCTGCAGATGTAGATGCCATTGGTTCATCACGTTCTGCAGATGTAGATGCCACTGGTTCTTCACGTTCTGCAGATGTAGATGCCACTGGTTCTTCACGTTCTGCAGATGTAGATGCCGCTGGTTCATGTTCTGCAGATGTGGATGCCATTGGTTATTCACGTTCTGCAGATGTAGATGCCACTGGTTCTTCACGTTCTGCAGATGTAGATGTCACTGATTCTTCACGTTCTGCAGATGTAGATGCCACTGGTTCTCCACGTTCTGCAGATGTAGATGTCACTGATTCTTCACGTTCTGCAGATGTAGATGCCACTGGTTCTTCATATTCTGTAGATGTAGATGCCACTGGTTCTTCACGTTCTGCAGATGCAGATGCCACTGGTTCTTCACGTTCTGCAGATGTAGATGCCACTGGTTCTTCATGTTCTGCAGATGTAGATGCCACTGGTTCTTCACGTTCTGCAGATGTAGATGCCGCTGGTTCATGTTCTGCCGATGTAGATCCCTCTGGTTCTTCACGTTTTGCAGATGTAGATTGCATTGGTTCTTCACGTTCTGCAGATGAAGATGCCACTGGTTCTTCACGTTCTGCAGATATAAATGCCACTGGTTCTTCACGTTCTACAGATGTAGATGCCACTGGTTCTTCATGTTCTGTAGATATAGATGCCACTGGTTCTTCACGTTCTGCAGATGTAGATGCCACTGGTTCTTCACGTTCTGCAGATGTAGATGCCACTGGTTCTTCACGTTCTGCAGATGTAGATGCCACTAGTTCTTCATGTTCTGCAGACGTAGATGCCAATGGTTCTTCGTGTTCTGCAGATGTAGATGCCACTGGTTCTTCACATTCTGTAGATGTAGATGTCAATGGTTTTTCATGTTCTGCAAATGTAGATGCCACTGGTTCTTTATGTTCTGCAGATGTAGATGCCACTGGTTCTTCACGTTCTGTAGATGTACATGCCACTAGTTCTTCACGTTCTAAAGATGTAGATGCCACTGGTTCTTCATGTTCTGCCGATGTAGATCCCTCTGGTTCTTCACGTTTTGCAGATGTAGATTCCATTGGTTCTTCACGTTCTGCAGATGTAGATGCCACTGGTTCTTCACGTTCTACAGATGTAGATGCCACTGGTTCTTCATGTTCTCTAGATATAGATGCCACTGGTTCTTCATGTTCTGTAGATATAGATGCCACTGGTTCTTCACCTTCTGCAGATGTAGATGCCACTGGTTCTTCACGTTCTGCAGATGTAGATGCCACTGGTTCTTCACGTTCTGCAGATGTAGATGCCACTGGTTCTTCACGTTCTGCAGACGTAGATGCCAATGGTTCTTCGTGTTCTGCAGATGTAGATGCCACTGGTTCTTCACATTCTGTAGATGTAGATGTCAATGGTTTTTCATGTTCTGCAGATGTAGATGCCACTGGTTCTTCATGTTCTGCAGATGTAGATGCTACTGGTTCTTCACGTTCTGCAGATGTACATGCCACTAGTTCTTCACGTTCTAAAGATGTAGATGCCACTAGTTCTTCATGTTCTGCAGATGTAGAAGCTACTGGTTCTTCACGTTCTGCAGATGTAGATGCCACTAGTTCTTCACGTTCTGCAGATGTAGATGTTACTGGTTATTCACGTTCTGCAGATGTAGATGCCACTGGTTCTTCACGTTCTACATATGTAGATGCCACTGGTTCTTCACGTTCTACATATGTAGATGCCACTGGTTCTTCACGTTCTACATATGTAGATGCCACTGGTTCTTCACGTTCTGCAGATGAAGATGTCACCACCGCCATCTATTTGCGCGGCAACTGGACATCCGGATCAGGTTTGTTCGAATCTCTTGAATGTTCGTAAGTAGAGGAAGTCCCTGTACTTCTTGACCGTCGGTTAAGAACTTGAGTAGATTTTGATTTAAAGCTTTCGTGACTGCAGGGATTCATTTTCTTGGTTCTTTCGGTAAAGTCACGTAGAAGGGAAACAATAAAATAATAAAAATATAAAATAATAAAAGTCTCACAGAATTTTTTTGTTTTATATTCTCACAGAATGTTATTGTTTTATATTTTTATTATTTTATTATTTCCCTTCTACGTGACTTTACCGAAAGAACCAAGAATATGAACTTGAGTAGATGTTGTTACGAGCCAGGAACGATGACGCGCATTGTTGAAGACCGTGTCCCGCTCATTATGCCGAGCGGCTGTCTGATGGACACCCCGTTTGACAAACGATGAAGCCGTCTGGCTCGGCGTTCGAACTCGCACGCTCAGCAGAGAAAAAAAAACGACGAATCCTGTCAGTCCCACTGGCTACGTACGGTGCGTAAGAAGTTCGACATACATGCAAAGATGCGTTAAGGTGCGCGATGTACAACGTGCTGCGGCTTGGCTATGAAATGCAAAGGAACGTTACAAATTCCCTCGGGCTGATACTCTCCTTACGAACACTGCGGCTTCTCTCCAAGTTGTGGAATGTGGTTGAACGTGCATTGTTAAAAAAAAAAATTCACCTGTGGTGTCAGTTCACGTGTGCGTGGATACATGTGGGGGAGCGAAAGTAGTGTGGTTTTAACGCTGCGCTACCAACTAAGTGACACCCAAGTTCAATTCGCGCTCAGGGCCAACATCACTGACGAATACAGGGCGTTTCAAAGAGATGATCCCGATTTGAAATCGCTATATCTCTGCAACCACGAACCGCCCATGAATATAACGCTTACCACTTGAAAGGGCGGGGCATAGAGTTTCAAATGATTACCGCTCGATGCCTCTCCCAGCGCAGAAACAGCCCCTAGCCTAAGTTATTCGCAGGATGGTGACCCCGCAAACACAAGGGGCGTTTTGCGTTCTGCAGTTCAGCAAGACTGAATCCGTAATTGCGGTGCAGCGTGCGTTTCATCACACCCTGCGACTTTTTCTAGTGTGGATACGTCAAATAACCGTGTTTTTGTCCCACCATTAGTGGCTAATCTGGAAGACCTCAAAAACAAAATCACGGCAGCGGTGACTTCAGTGGAAGAAGACTTCACTTTGAGAGGCGTTTGGGACGAATTCAACTCTCGTCTCGATGTTGTCCGTACAGCAGGTGGAGGGCACGTAGAGCATTTATAAAATGGTTAGTACAAATTATATTCTTAGCTTTTTCGGTAAAGTCACGTTGAAGAGAAACAACAAAATAACAAAATATATATAAAACAATAAAAAATTCTCACGACGTTTCGACCATAACTCAAACGGTCATCATCAGGTGTGTCGGTTTGCATAAATTTATTTAGAAAACGGCATATTTATTTATTTATTTAAAAATAACGTTTGCGTCACGCGCAACGATTGGCTGTTTGCCAGGACTAGTCCATCTATTTTTTGAAAAGAGGAGGGGGGAGACGAAATTTGTTTTTATGTATGCTGTCTGAAAGCCACTGTAAGCGTGAACAATCAATCAAGAACTGAAATGATTTATCAAATCTTTCCAATGATTGCTAAGATAGAATCCATCTTCTCGGTTGAAATTGTCTCTGTGGTTAGTACAACGTTAGTACAACTTGATAACTAATTCAACCGTTTGTAACTGTGTAATTGTAACGTTGTTATCGTGAAATATACCGCTTTGAAATTGGGTCCATCTCTTTAAACACCCTGTATATCTAAACATTGGCGCTGGGGGAGACAAAGGCGGCTGTTGGTGTGACCACACAAAAACAAAGATCCCCCGTATGAACAGACGGTTAGCGCAAGTGCACCTATGAAGGCCGGAACGGCACACGAGGGTTGTGGGTGACCAACACCACGCCCGGCCGCCTTTGTATCCCCAGTGGCGATGTTTACACACCGCACCAGGTACTCAATTGAGGCGGAGTCGGGGGGGGGAGGCACGACCGGGAATCGAACTCGGAACGCCGGGGTTCGTAGCCCGGTGCGCTGACCGCTACACGAACCGCTCCCCCTGCTGCGAGTGACCACGCGTGGTTCGAACGACACCAAACACCCCGCGTGTGCCCCCTCGCCACTTCAAGAAGGCTACATTTCGGTGAACAATTATTCCTCGAAAATGTATCATCGGCCGTTGTTAATCCACTGCTGGACGAAGGCCTTCCCAAGCTGTCGTCAGCTCTTAGCATCCTGTGATGTAACAATCCAGAATCATCAAATGTATTGATATACTGGAGGAATCCCGATGAGCTTTCAAACTATTTTTCACCGACGTCCAGTAGGGGTGTGGTTAGAACGTTGCAACAATACAAAAAACACGATATGAGTGCAAAGTATATGGAAGCGAATCACTAAAAAAAATAAACGGAACTATCATTTTTTTTAATCAGGTAAAGCCCAGTGAGTTGAGAGCTTCTTTTTTCAGAAGCCACAAATGATAGCTCAACGAAGTGGCTTATCACGTGGAAATTCATAGCAGCCTAATAATGCAAATAATTATCTAAACGCACGTTTCGAAATGTGGAGGGAAAAAACGGGAGGACCCGGAGATGATAAAAAAAAATCCACGCGACCACGGGGAGAAGGCGCAAAGTCAGGCGTCAGAGGATCAAATCCCCGACCTCCTGCATACCAGGCGAGGAAAATAACATCTCGCCACCGTGGATCGACTTAGCACCTGCACTGAAACTGATTTTCACCGCTCCACTGCCCTGGGTGGACGTACTCTCAGACGCGTTCCGTTCCTTGGCAGCCACTCCCGTCATCATTCTTGACCATCGCCCCATCAAAGCGACGGGTCCTGCCCAGGCCCACTCACTCTGAACAGTTTGAAGGATGTAATTATAAACATATTCTGTACTTAACGAACGTAACATGAAGCACCCGCGCACAAGCGTACGTCATTTGACTAAATTGCTCCATCTCCTGGACGCCATTAAAATTAAGCGAAACAACAAAAAACATCGGACAACTTTTGTTTGTATATTTTTATTGTACTGTAGCTGCACATTTGCTATTTACACGTGAATGCCATGTTTTTTTTATTATTTCCAAACACCTGCAATGTACTGGGTATACTAGAATTTAACTTATTTTAAAAAAAGCAAAGCAACATTCATATACAAACAATTTTCAATACAAAGGCAAATATTCCATGGCAGGTTCTGCACACGGGCACGAGCCACGTGCAATGCGTGTAAGATATGTTACAGAGTTAGCACATCGAATTTCACATTTGTCTGCAGGCCTTATATTGATTCAACAGACAGAACAACAACAAAGCTCATATACATTCATATCCTTTCTTTGCAACTGAAACGTATTTTCACTGACGCGCATTTCGTCGCACGCTCCCCGGTTGATTTTGGTATTTTCAGGGCGTCTTCGTCTGGGCAACTTGAGGCCCCAGTGCAAAAATGACAGCCGTTTGAGACTGGAAGAAATTACTGTCATCGTCGTCAAGTTCCGTTCGACTCGACGTCACTCTCCACTTTCGCAGCTTTTGCACTCAAGTACGACTCGTGGGTAATTCATTCTACTCACTAAGCATGCTAAATTATTACGAGCCTCTTGACAGCCAGATCAGTCTTGTGCTCATCGGGATTACTTTGAGTATACATCAATTAAAATCAATCCTTGCGTTCGCAACGCGTGTATCCCGTCGCGTCAGAATCCGTTATTGTTGTTCCGTACGTATATTTTCCGAGACCGCTGCGTAGATTTTCGCGACTGCGCTGCGTTGCTCTCCAACTTGTTTTTCTTTGGGTTGCACCTTCGTGGGTGTTGTTCGGCACGATGTCCGACGTCCCCCCCCCCCCCCCCCCCGTGACGGAGAGCTTTCACAAGACACTCGTGCTGAACATGCAATACAACCCGAATACACATCGGAGAGCTTGGATGCGAATGGTTCGCTGACCCCTGCATACTCCCATTAAGAGGACTCCACGCTGAGGACAATGGCAGATTAAAAAAAAAACTCAAATCTTAAATCCAATCGTACACTTGCATCATGAAAATTAATTGAATCACTGAGCGGGGAACCAATTGAATTGGTACAAGGCTAACCTTTAGTTCCACAGCCTAGGAGCAGTCAAGATGCCTTTAGGTGCCACAATGGAGTACTGAAATCTAAATGGTTGCCAATTTTTGGTCTCGGTGTGGAGCTAAATTTATTATTTTTCACGTTGGCAGCACAATGGGTTTAGTGGCCCGGCATTTTCGAGTGTCACGCGCTGTCGAAACTAAAAAGGTGAAAGAACGGATCACTTCAAGCCAAACTTTTTAAGTGGCTTCCCTGTTTACCTACCATCCCGATGGCCGAAATCATCCCCTGATCAATGAAATAAATGTATCAAGCTAACATGTAATTCACATGTTTTTGAAAACATTAACTGGACGTGAAATGCTACGGTTTCATTTTTTTTCTTACGATAGGAATTCAGTGGGTTAACATGGGGGGGGGGGGGGGGGGGGGGCTTCCAATACGAAACGGTATTATCCACATTTATATTTACGCGATCTAACCCAAAAAAAAACTGTTTTATGGAATGATCCATTTATCCCACGCACAGACTTTTGAAAGGACGCGTAATTGAAAAAGAACACCACCATACAACATTTACAGCCTGTGCATGTCATTGATAATAATTAAGTCCTAATTTCCATCCCTCCTGTCAATCCACTGCTAAATAAATGACACCCAGAACAGTGTTGGTCATGGGGCATAGTTGACCTGGTTTCACCACACTGGTCAGTGCACGTTCGTAAGGCAGGGTGGTGGGGGGGGGTCGAAAGGGGGTCAGGGGTTAAGACTGGTTCAGAAGTCACTTGCCACTGATGTTAGCCGGGAATCAAACTCTGTTCACAGGGTTAAAAGCGAAGTGGCTAACCACTGCACTGCTGCTGTACCACATGAAATCTAGAAATGTTTAACCACACACCGCACATTTCTGTATGTTCCATAGTGTGGATATTGATAAAAAAAAACTGAAAAAAATCTTCCCCACAATTCAAGCAAAATTTGTGCCAAAACTGAATTTAAAACATCTTGGAAACGAGAGCTTACAGTGTTATTCTGTCAACTACAGCCACATTTTACTACTTTATTTTACATTTCAATCTTAAGGTCTTTTCCTCATTGCATTTGCATGACAATATATTTAGCCGGAATAATGCAAAACAATGCATTCACATTAAAGCTACCAAATTTAGGCCATGTAACAAATAGGTAAATAAACTTCTGAAATGTCATCCAATTCCCACAGCATCGCTCTCTTATATCAGTAGTCTTTAGAGCCAAATGGCCAAAGAGCACCATACACATCCCAGAAAATTGCACACTTAATTCCAATTGGGGTATATTTTAACTGTATATCCTCTTCAAAAGTTACACAATGTTTAAAAAGTTATACGCTTTAGGTTTTCATGCCATACGCAACAATAACAAAGATCTCCCGTATAGCGTTAATAGACTTTTGGGGCTAGTGCTGGTAACGATCAGCTATGAAGTCTGAGGCCGGCACGGTATACGAGGGAGTGGTTGGCCGGCACCACACACCCGGCCACTTTCATCTCCCAAGTGGCCATGTTTGCACACTTCACCAGGAATTAATTTGAGGCTGAGTCAACCTAGGGGATGCCCAGGACCGGTTTTAGATAATCGTCACAGGTGTTGGCCGTGAGCGGGAATCAAACTCGGGTCCTCCGGGCTCGGAGCGCAGCGCGCTAACCACTGCGCCACCACTCCCCAACATGCTTAAACAACACACAACACCTGCAAACATGCATTAAAAGCAACGGCGTTTTAGCACAAAAGCAGAAGTGAAGCAATGTAAACAAGCTACATATACGTACCACTCGCAAGGGAGACAGCAGTGGGCCTGAATATGCACTCGCACATTTAATACTATTTCTGGTACATTATATACAGAGCAAAACATTTTAAACTATATTCATACATGATTTTACATTTATAAGTTAGTACCCAGCATGCTATGTCTTCATCGAAGTTTCAGTATATTGCATAAGAACATTTTCATCCCACTGTTCTCCACCTTGCCGATGGCAACAAACACAGCACAGTTTTTTTGTTGTTGCAAAAAAGCCGGTTGAAAGAACGGCAGTGAGTGCGCGATACAAGGGGGGGTCAAACATTGTGAAAGCACCTTCTGAGAATGCATGACATTTCAAGGTAAACTTTAAATTAATAGCGATTTCGTGACAAAGTAAGGAAGCGCAGAAAAAACGATTACAAAATTGGTCATTGTAACTCTGCATCAAATGTATATCCCCGTGTCTATGCGTGTATGCATGTGAGATATGTACAAAAAAAAGAATGCAAACGCATATACACCATTTGCGGCTTAAAGCATCGAAAAAGATACCAAGAAAATGTAAATCAAATGCCCTATATTGGAATGTAAGAAAAATGTTTGCATCTCAAAACTGTAATAAAGGCTTTTCGATCGTTCCGCCATCGTCACTTACAAGCACGTAAATATACCACAGGACGTAAATAAAACACCCCCTTTCGTGCCGCTGAATGTTCCTAATGTGCTGCTGACAATCCGTTTGTGTAACCCCCCCCCACCCCGGGCTCCCTTGGCAAAAACCCCCACGTTAATATTCAGTGATGAGACAGTCTTCAACGTAATAAAAAAAACATTCCCACATCGTGTGCAATCAATTCCAACGCGTATTGCACAGAATGACCGCCCACCGGGTGTGGCATGTCCACCCCACCCCCTCCACCTCTTTCTGTGTCCCTCACGGCCAGCACAACACGACATCTCACCCGTAACGATAGTCTTATAAAGCACAAGCTCCTCACGAGATGTGCACCACCCCCCCCCCCCCCCCCCCAAGTAAAGCAGTCATTAAGGCCATAATATGTACAAAGCACGGGTCTTGGTGAGATAACTGGAGCTGATGATGCTAAATAATTACGGAGAGGACACGAAATGTAGAAAAAACAATGGCTTGGACTACATTCTGAATACATCCAAGAGACGCATTGTCTCTGTTACGCACAATTAATTTAAAATAGATCTTTTTAAATCAACATGCACGCCAGGACTGCACCCCCACAACAGAAAAAAACCATTGACAACGTTTAAACGTGTGCCGTAATCTGCATAAATATCCAAACCAGGGTCTGGAGTGCAAGCCGCGAGGACAAGTGAATACGAGATAAAGCGATGAAACTGGAGCATGCTTCTGGGAAAATAACGCAGATGAACAGGATTGTACGTAATCGTGCCGTTGTGTGTAGAATGACGATGATTATGGTATTGCTGCTGCTGATGATACAAACATAATTTTATATTACTGCATATGCATGCCTTTTGTCCAACAGCTAGACACTGCATGCTACTGAATAATGTACATGTGCTCCATTGGAACTGCGTAGCTCGTTGTTTATGCAAAGCTGTCAACATTTAACAACACCTACGGCATCGTTGCAACCCAGCTGGGCCAACGTGGAAGCGTTGACTATGACACCACAGCAGTTCCAAAAACTTGGCTTGACTTAGACCTACACTGTCCCTTCCTGATGCTGAGAGGCTGTTGCGTGCATTCATATAATCAAGGTTAGATTACTGTAATACCTTGCTTGCTGGCGTTTCTAAAAGTCTTCTAAATTGACTACCAATATATTAAAAACTCAGCTGCTTGGGTTTTAACCAGACTGAAATCGTGTGACCATATCACTCCTATTCTTTCCTCCTTGAACTGGGCTCCATGTAAAGTATCGACTTCAAGATTTTATTCTCGCGTTTAAGGCTCTGGATGAGTTGGCTCCTAAATATCTCACCGATCTGGTAATTTTTTACATTCCACTGCGAAAATTGAAATCTTTCGATTGTGGTTCACTTACTCATTATTCCAAAGACCAGTCTTCATTGTATGAGAGACGGAGGCTTTTTTTTGCAGCCAGGCTCGGCAATTGAGGAATTCCCTTCCTCGGTCCATTGGGGAATACGAGTTTGTTCAAACTTTTTAAATCGCGTATTAAAAACTGTTTTTTCCAGCGGGCTCTCTCTCCGTAACTTAAGCTGTAAGTGATGCGTTTTGAGTCCTGGTGCAAGTTGCGCTATAGAAAACCGAGATTATTAAAATCCCAAAACCTGTGCAGCTGGGTTCGATTTTAAAACTGAGAATAAAGTGCAATTGAGAAGGCACTCGTGTTGTTTTTTTTTCATGGCAACTCACCCGAAGTTGAATTTACCATTAAAACCGGCGATTTAGTTTTTTTGTTGAGTGATCTGATTATGCCACATGGGCAAGGATGTTTTTAATCTGCTTCAAATGAAATGTGGCGATCTGGGTGTTTAACTTTTGTGGAAATGCATCACTAATTAAGGAACCCTATATCTGGACAATGCCGATATCGGCGCTAAAAATGTATGACAGACATCATTTAAAAGTAAGATTTTTTTTTGTAATTTCAAAAGATGCCCTGTCTTTGGTAGCCATGATACTTTGTTCAACAAAAATTAAATTACCCTTAACAATTCGTAAGATCAAGTCTTCCATGCAGACAAAATTACAAAAAGAGGAGCATGCTCCATTGAGAAAAGTTCAACAAACATATGCAAACTTGATCATGTTAGTTAAGCAAGAGCCAAAGCCAAATGTGCTTCCTCCTTCCTTTCACTGTCAAGTAACGTAACCTTTCAGTAGTACTGTCATGGTTAGCGTGAATTGTCATTCATTGGGCACGCAAGCCACAAATAAACAGCAATTTTAAGATACTTGTGCCCAGCAACTTCCTAATAGAAGCATGTAAAAAGAAAAGCACGTACACACGCGCGCGCTTCTCAATCCTGCTTCACCGAAACAACGAAACGTAAATGAAAACACGACAAAAAGCTTATCTACAGCTTTAAATCGAGACGGAAACAACCGAACATGTGAATTGGCCCATCGTATCGGTGTGTTGTCAGACCCGGGCTCACGAGTTTCCGTAGTTAATGGAAAAAAAAAGCTCATACCTTGATGCCGTTCATATGGGTGGTCATTTGTGGCTTTTCTATCCTCGCCACAACTCAGGACAGCAAGAGCCAGAAAGTGTCGCACCCTGGCATTAACTGCAGTGTGAAATGCGTCTTGTCCCAACAGTCTCGCTGTGCAATTAAACAATTACCACTCTGTTGTGTTTGCGATCCTTCTTCCATTGTCGTTTAAGTTGCTGAACGGCCATTCCAAAAGTAAATTCTAATTTTTCCGATTCTTATTCGTCTTCCGTTATTTGACTTACATTAAAAAAACACTAAGAAAAGCCCTCCCCCCCGCACAATAAAAAAAAACCCCAGCACGACTTGAAATTTCCACAAAGTTAATAATAACAATACAAAGTTTAAAAATAACTTAGAAAATATATTGCATTCACAAAAAAATGCTTGTCAGGCTCTTTGTTTGAAATTCTGAACTCATTTTGACTGTAGAAACATACAACACTGGGTCGACGGTTGGATGAGTGTTTCCAAGAAGTTCGAAATGTTGACGGTTTCATCTCTCCGATACTTCGTGCCATCCCGCCGTCTTCGTGTGCCTCGCAAGCGCCGACATCAGCAGCGCGTCTCAGCGATTGTCCTTTGCTACATTGTGAGCCATCCACATCACCTTGGTCTTCCAACTCTCACGTAAAGCCTCGTTGAACTTTTGGCAGAAATGTTTCAGTGCATCGTCCTCTCGTTTCTCCAGAGCGAGCGTCTCCTGGAGGGGCGCACGGGAAATAACAACTTGAGCGGGAACAGGATGCAGTCCATTTTTGAAAGGTTTCATTCGATAACGAAAAGCAATGTGTAAACGTGCTTAGTGAACACTTAACGTGAGGCTCTTCGCAGCCAATATTACGATTGGCTGTTCCTGTGAGGTCGTGACACCTATTTCAGAAACTGGATCAGGTGACACGGTGAGTCTAACTTCCTGGACTGTTATTCTGACTTCCTGAACCTTATCCTGATCATGTTTGATGTAGTTTCAAAAGAAACGCCTCATCTAACTGCTGCTAGATTTTGTTGTAAGGATTGTTCATCAACTCACCAGTGAGCTGAAACAGTGATCATTGATGTGTTAACCGCTGATACACAGGACAGGATGTTTGGCTTTGTCAGGTGGTGGAGGGTTCTTAACAATACAAGTTTGGCCAGATTCTTATGTAGCCCACTCCAAAAATCTATTATAATCATGCTTAAAGAAGAAAGTTTTCAGTTAGTGACTATACACGCCATGATATATGAATTGAACACAGACGAATAGAGCCTAAGAATAAATGAAGAAACATGGGTAGATGCATGCTGGGCATTACAGTCTTACACTGAGACACATTAAATGAGGAATGCATGAATCAGTGAACAAAAAAAAGTTACAGAGTTATCACATTGATCGTTAAGAAGAAATAAACAAGTGGACTTGGACAGGACACACTGGGCAAAGTGATGATGGTATGTGGACGATGCTGGTAATTGAATGACAGCCAATGGAAGGAAGACGCCAGATAGAGGTCAGCTGCTTGTTCGCATACATCGTGAGACCGTGAGAGATGGTGAGGCCGTGGCGGAGCCTACATCTACAAGTGGCTAGGTCATGGCTGGTGATGATGAATATAACTTTAGTGAAAGTCAGCATACCTTCAGGTACTGGATATCTTTAGGCGACGTGAGCTCTGGGAGGCCAGCTGCCAGCATGAGGGAGAAGAGGTTCAGGAAGAGGTGGCCGTTCTTCCTTAGGATCAGGTAGGCCCGCTCACAGTACCTGCGGAACCTTTAATATGGAAATGGTTTAATTAGTTGCGGTCGTGGCGCTTCGTGACTGCGATGCCAAGTTGCCACCCAAAGTTTGTTGCAAAATATTATTTATTTTCCATCACATTCAGCCCGTGTGGATGAATCCTTTCTTTGATTGGCCACATCGATGAAGGCCCAAGGTGGCTTGGTTGTTCAGGATAAAATACCACAACGGGTCAAAACAACTATACAAGGCCAAACAAATGTGCCACTACATCGCGATTAAAACTCTGCACGCCTCACCGGGAATATAGGCATCCCGTTGGAACGAAACGTGCGGCAAAAAGTACAATTACGATAAAAAAAAATTGTATCCACTTAGCCAGGAAACCATCGACGAGTCTCAAGACGTTTCCTAAAACGTCTTGCTCCACGACGTACTGAACGATTGATTTGTTTTTGTTAATGCGCATTTTGGAAGCTAGGGCTGCAGCTACGTTGGAAGGCTCACCGGTCGAACTTTTCACTGTTGGTGGTCTTCCCCTCCTGGATGACGTGCACGAAGTCGTACGTGAGGATGAACGGCACCCGCTCGCGCTTGATGCCGAACTTGCTCTTGAAGTTTCCCAGGAAGTGGCCAAAGTCGATGTGGAAGAGCTGTGAGCAGCCAGACGAAAAGGGGCCATTGCACGATTTAAATATTCTGCTCGTATAAAATTGTCCAATGTAACCAAGGTCACGTTCGTGACTCAGCAGGGCTATATTGCATATCCTAGATAAATAAAGGATAGCATTACTGTTACTACTTTATCGCAAGTGAACAGGTATTCCCCAACAGGACTGTCAAACACATCAAATGACACTAAACATGGTGGGTAAAGTTACATATTTTGAACAGAACGTTATGGTCATCATGTAGTTGCTCATGAATAACAGCCGTAGAGTAGTTACTGCGCTACACTATAAACCTCGTGACCCATGTTCAATTCCCAACCCAGCCATGGCTAACGTCAGCGGCAAGGGATATTGGATCCGGCTCTTGCCCCTTCACCAACTCACACTGTCCAAGCATGGTGAAGTATGGTGAAACAATCGCAATGACCCACATAGTATGAGGAGCCCTTCATCCAGCAGTGTATTGATAATGGGATATTAATCATTACAGTAAAACCTCAGTTTAACAGACATCCATTCAATGGATCTCTGATTTAACGGACAAAGTCTGCTGAATCAAGAGTTTTGTCCGAAGATCAGAGAACAAACGGACTTTGCCCCAAGCAACAGACTCAGTCCGTTAATGGGGAAACTAGTCCAGTCAATACTCGCTTCTGTCTCCTCTGACTCGAAATAATATATTCTGGGTCACCACTATCGATCATGGCAATGTATGGATTATTCAGGCTCTCTCGACTTCTCCCATACTTGGTAAGTGTTATACAGTAGTGAACAGTTGTTTATCTAGGTGTAAACTTTATGAATGTTGTTGCCAAAAATGACGTTGGCAATGGGTGTGCATTTGAAGAAAGTGTGAATGTACAGTACTGTATTAGTATTAATACTGTAATGTATGACTATTATTAACTAGCCTTTTACCCGTCCAAGGACGGGTGTATTGCAGTAAATCTGAAACTTGCAAGCGAAAAGCAGACCGTGACGTGATATTAATTGCATCAATTCGTGTACAATTTGTAAGGCCGCGGTGACACAGAGTTATTTCATGTTAATGTTATAATCCCTTGTTCATCATGACGTGCTTTTTACTTCGATGTCTCAACAGCGTCACGGAGATCACGTGACGTGAGGGTTCTGCCGTTGTAGTGAGGGTTGTAAGTTTGACGCCGAGGAGGGGGGAGGAGGCGCCTCGGCTCATGTGGAGTGACGTCAGCCGCTAATTATTATGAATGGGGGGGGGGGCTGATGGACGTGGAGTGACGTCACGAGCGTTGCATTCTTGACTCATTATAGTAGGTAATAATGGAGTGGCCATTTGGAGGACGTCACCTGCTCATGATTATTAATTTATTAATGAGGGGGGCTGTTCGATGTGGAGTGACATCACTTGCTCATGATTATTAGTGAGGGGGGGGGGGGGGAGTACTCCATATTGAAAGACGTCACCCGCTCATGATTATTAATGAGGGGGGCTGGTCAATGTGGAGTGACGTCACAAGCGTTAAGGACAGACATTCCTCGGTGATTATAGTAGGTATGTACAGGTATTATTACATTATTATTGTGTAGCTTTTTTATTATTATGAAGAGCATTACAATATTTTATAATCATCATTACTGAACTATCAGTAAGTAGTTTGTGTGTGGTAGGGTGTGATTTAGTGCTCAAAATAGGTAATTTGGTCATTGACTGACAATCGGATTCTACGGACACTCCTTTGTTAGTCCATTAAACCGAGGGTTCACTCTCTATTGCGATTTACTAGATTTCTGAATTTTGGTCTCACTAACCCTGTGACTCTTTCCGTAAACATATTCAGATTATATTTCCTCTGGGAACACGGCCATAATTAGAAATCAGTCAGTCAGTAATAGTAAGTGCAAAGTATGTAAGTGAAACTAAACTAGAAACTAAACTCTTTTTATTTTACCAGGTAAAGCCCACTGAACTAGATAGCTCTTTTTCAGAAGCGACCTGGCCACAAATGATAGCTCAACCAAGTGGCTTATCAAGTGGAATGTATAGCAGTCAAATATTCTAAACATGGAGGAAAAACTGGAGGACCCAGAGAAAAATCCACGCGACCACGGGGAGAACATGCAAACTCCAAATATATACAGGCGTCGTGGTCGGGATCTAACTCACGAGGTCCTGTATACCAGGCGAGGTAGTTAACATCTCGCCACGGCAGCGTGGTTGGTATTGACCCTGTTGCAATAAATTAAACAGAGCTGCCCTGACTGCCTTCCCGCCCGTCTCTTTGTGGCGCAGCACCCAGGCTCCTCCATCCCCTGAGCCCCGATCAAGTTGCACTGCCTACACCCTCGATAGCCAAGCCACTGGTGTGTTACACTACCCAATCAGAAACTCACCTGCCCCGTTTCCCTAATCATGATGTTGTCGCTGTGCCGGTCTCCTATGCCCAGCACGTATGTTGCCACGCAGTAGCCGGCACAAGAGAGGGTGAACTCCTCTATAGCCCTCTCCAGAGCATCCCTGTGCCAACACACAACAGAACGAGACTCTCAGGATGAACAAAATCGACTGCTGCTTCTCATTGAGCTACTAAGGTGAGATTTAATTTATACGTCACAAGGCACGGAAACCTCCTCGCTGATTTCCTGCAGTCAAGAAGACCGTGGTGTCACATCAGTGAGCACCGCTGGTTAATTACATCACAGGTGCTACTTCTGAATTGAATTCGACTCAATTATCTTACTCGAGACCAGGGGTGGGGGCACCTACGGCCTGCGACTTTATCTCACAGGTCCTGTGGACACATGAGGCTCACCACTGATGAACGGTCCTCAAACCAAATGTTTTAGACCTGGTAATAACTCTGTTTCGTAATTTTAGCAAGCTAACGCGCTTAGTTTTCTGCAAGGACCTCTTGCAGTGACACAAGGGAACGAGCTGCGAGTGTGTGTGTGTGTGAATACGTAGTTGCCCGCAATATATATTTGAAAGCCATATTCGTCCCTCGGTGAGGACAAGGTTCCCTATCCCTCCTGTATACTGTGCTACCATGCAATACAAATGGTGTTTTCCTCACTGTCTATCATAATTTATACGTATAGATTTTAGTCCTCACTGCAGGACAAGGCCAAATTACAAAATCGATATGATGCTTTCCATGTGCAATCATCAATAACTGGACAAAAATCCATCAACTCTCTACGTTTGAGTAATTGGTCTAGGGGCAGATATCCAGTTGTGAAACCAGGATCTCAGCGGTGGTGCCTTATTACTCAGGACAGGGCAATGATGAGCCCAGCCAACACACACACACACACACGTGTCATTTAACTATATTCTCACAACAGGCATAGAGGGGTACTTTGTTTGTATGCATACGTGAGTAGTGTGTTGGTTATGAATCTACTTTTTCTTGTGTGCTGCCACCAAAGTTATATAATGATCCAATGTCACACTCATGATGATGACGATTACATGGCCTGGTCTGTAATGCTGGCCAGATACTTCATAGCGCACGGCCTCTTTCATAAGCATTGTGCACTTTCAGATGCGCTTCTGGGGCCGTCTGGAATGCTCTTTCTTCCAATGTTAGGAAGCCACTGCAGCTATGTACTTTTAAATCTCGATTGCAAACTCATTTCTTTATAACTGCATTTTTGTGTTTAGTATGTTGTCCTTCCCCCGCACCTCCGATTAACACGGTCGGCTACGTACGGTGCGAAAAAAGTTCAACATACATACATACATGTGTCGCTTAGTGGCCCCACTTCCGCACTTGGGACTCATGAACTGCCCGCTCCGGTTTGAAGGAGATTCAAAGTCGTGTAGGTCAAACAATCGTTTCTCTGCACCAGCGGTGGAGGTGTTCGTCAACGTCGATGTACGTTGTGACGTCCTTGGTTATCGGCCCAATGAGTGATCATTGACAGCGTTTTCCTCAACAGCACCAGCAGACTAAAAAGTAGGCATGTGATGAGCCACCACCGTTGCATTGATTGACATTGCCTCGTGTGCTCTCTCACAACGCATGCACCGAATTTGAAGAGTATTTTTTTTTTTACGATTTAAACCAATTACATGAAAATTATATGCTAGTACCTTTATGATAAAGGTGGGGGAAATAAAGCTGTACATTTAAGGCAAAACAAATAATGATAAACAATACAAAACTCATAGACCAATTGATGCGAGGGAACCCATCGCAATAAAATAAAAGTTCTGGCTTTAAAAAAAAAATTACTTCCAAAAACACAAAAATGTGTAAAAAGCACACAGCAGAGGCTGTCTGTGCACGCATTTCCCTCAAGAAGCGCAAGGACAAGGGGACCACAATGCACTTCTTCAGGAAGCACTGATGGTTTATGCACAAGTGCAGAGTCTGCGTGCTTTTCGCACATTTGTGCACTCTCAAAAATCCCCTGAAAGCCTTTAACAGACTGTTTGGGGCAAGAGCACCTATGAAGGCAGCAACAGCACGCAAAGAGGTGGGTGGCCACCGCACCAGGTACTCATTTTGAGGCTGAGCCGACCTATGGACGGTTCAGATAATCGTCACTGGTGTTGGCCGTGAGCAGGAATCGAACTCGGGCCGCCGGGTTCATAGAGCAGCGTGGCGCTAACCGCTGTGTGTGCGCGCACACCGCACACATGGCACACACCCGGGGTTCTTGGCTTTGAGCCAATTGAGCAGTGCGTCCTTGTTGAAGGCGGCGGTGGCCGCGATGTTGCTCTTGTCCAGCTGGATGTTGGCGATGGTTTCGGCGCGTCGCACCATCTCAATGAGGCCCGTCTTGTCGCCCGTTGACAGGCACCCGTAAGGGACAATCCTGCGGTGTGGGGGAGAGGGCAAGTGTTTGAGAGGACAAAAGTTAATTAATCAATGGCAGAGCAAATTACGAGGACAGACTGGCTTTCACCGCAGTAGCACACCCTATGATAGGGATATAATGGTAACGTAGTGCAAGGATAATTACCGGAATAATAAAAATGGATAAAGGTGGATCATTTGGTAGACAATGCAAGCTTGTCTTCTACAATGTCACATGGTGTGATTGACGATCAGTATTAGCCCTGCTTCAATGTTCACCTGCCTAAATGTAACTTTCCTTCGAGATGGATGGTTAAAGTTATTGTGAGTGGTGACGTGTACACATATATCCCGTATTTGAAGGTCAGCAACGCACTAGAAAATGCTGGATTTTGAGAAATAAAAGACATAAACATAAGTGGTGAAAGTATTAACTGACAATGTAGCAAATATAACAATTCCCACAGTTAATGGGAAAAAGAAGGTTTAGCAAGCGATTAAAGAGCTTAATAAAAAAGGCTGCAAAGTTGGGTTAAAAAAATAATCATGACCAAAAATAAATGTCGTACACAACAGGTTTGCCCAACAAGAGGAAAACATTGTTGGAGGGACATAACTGGAGAGCACAATGGAGTGTGCACACCTACGGCAACTCGTGAAGGCGGAGCGGGAACGAAGACGTGACTTGAAGAGGTGAGCGAGAGCAAGTTGGAGTGCTCTTTGTAAATTGAAATATGGAGTTTGACAGAGAACATGGAACATGAGCTGAAGAGTCAACATGCGTTGGCTGCTCGAAATCGGAACACTAAGAACGCCAATCTGCGACAGTTTTTTTTATTGTGGACAAGTGGGCTTGGGCAGGACTTTGTTTGAAGGGATCATGGACGATGCACGAGACTGGTGACAGAATGTCCACCGTGGAGATGGAGCAATGAGATCAGCTCGCACACACGAGCGAGGCGGACTGTGGTATGGCAGCACCCTGAACGATAGTGATGACATGGGTGAGGCATTATTCCATCATTGGATAGATGACTGATGATGATGATGATGAATGTATGCATGGGCAGTGCTCATGCCAATGTAAGCAGAAAGACAATCTTCTGAAGGATATTTGGCAAGAATTCCATATTAGCCAACCTGGTTTGCGGAGATGGAATTTTAATTACACTTTATCGTCCACAAAAAGGAATGTACATTCCGTCCATGCAATTAAGACAGAGGTCCCGATAAACACATTCTCCAATGTGTTTAATACAAAAAAAATAACCGCTTTGTCTCATCATTTCCCATATTCCGATTGGCTAGAGGCTGGCCGTGGGAGAGCGGGAGTGTGGGAGGCTGGAGCAAGGGTGGGAGCTGAGGGGGGAGGGGGCGAGGAAGTGGGGGAAGGGGCAGGGAGGGGGGGACAGGCAGTGGGAGTGCGCTAGGGGAGTCAGGATACCGCTCATTCACTCGTGCATTTATACAGGAACACTGTTGAATATGGAAAATTTAATTTAAATATAACAGCTAAAATGTATTTAATAATTTCCGTGAGAATCCAAATTTCATGAGCGCATTCCACAACATTTGAACTCCACTGTGATTTTTGTTGCGAATGGAAAACAAAGAACACGGGCAAGTATACTCCCAATTCAAAGGTGTAATTTTAGTGCCTCACTACTCGGAGAGAAAATTAAGATTTTAAAACAAGAGAGAAAGTTAATGTGATGGCATAAAACTCTCATTAAAATTCTCACTGCCGATGCTTAACCGCACGAACATTATAATCAAGCTGGAGAGAGAGGAGCTTGGATGAAAGTCCATGTGGAAAATCAATGAAACCATGGCTTCGTATCACTGCTAATAAATAAAAAGAATTCCTTGTTGATTTTGTGTTGCTTCATGATGTATAGTTGCGCAATATTATCTTGTTACGAACAACTTTTGGTACGAACAACTTTTAGCGTGGCCTTTTAAGCTACATTATTACTTGGGGGGGGGGGGGGCAGGGGTCCACATTAGTTTGGGGCATTTCCAATCGGTGCTGGCTCAAGCTCTCAGTGACATTACATGGTGCGACAAAGACGGTGGCAATGGCACAGTGGGGGCCAGTCACAGGAGAGCTGGGGTAATCTGAACACCGCTCGTGTTTTCTCACCTGAGGTCAAGGCCCTGCTGTTTCCACATGTTGTCCATCAGCTTCAGCATCTGCAAAGTCAGCATGTCCTGCCGTAGGTCTGCGTGTCACGGTGAACGTTGGTTGTTTATCAGTGGGGGGGGGGGGGTAAACAACGGTCATGCATAATTTGGCATTTTATTTTATAATTAAACCTCCTCACCCTTGCCTCCACTAATCCTCAGCGGCATCACGGTACGTTACAAAGTTTATTATGACTTTGTAGCGTACCGTGATGTAATAACTTATTAACTGTACCGTGATGCAATAATAATATTATTCTTGCAGAAGTATTTTACAACGTCAATGAGCACGTAAGTTAGTGATGCTCAATTGTTCCAGGAATGCCTCGACGAGCCTCAAGACTCTTTTGCGGTACGACACTGCGTCGTGACGTTCAGCAACAATCCATTCCACCGAGTGTTTTGCATGCGGGAGGAAAGGGAGTATCCAGAGAGAATGAATGGCTATGAGGAAATGACAAAGGTCTGCATAGGCAGGATCACGGACCTACTTGCTGTGCTGTCATCTCCTGGCCGCCTTGCTGCCGAAAATGTCCTTGTCTAGCTCTTCTGCTACTCTGTGTCTATTACTTTCTTTGTTGCATTCCCAGTGTGGCCGTTCCATTTTTGCAAGTGATTTTTTCTCTCTCTCTAAATATTAGTTTCACTTCGGCCTTGATTTTTGGGAGCTTAGATGACCGCATCACTTTCCACTGAGGCGAAAATAGCGGCCTCTAGTGGTTGGAGGGGATCACGTGAACCAATTAAGTGCAACATATATAACGAGTTTTAAAACATCTCTTTTTACGCTCAAGATTCGACGCACGTATAATGAGCTTTAGAACCAACATTATTGGATGAATCAATGCACCGGTACAGACATAGCGAACTGCATGAGCCCGAATTCAAAAGCAAAGACATGAGTGTATACCCAAGGTAAGAACTAAACCGACATGAGGGTCAGTAAAAGTGTGGCCAGCAGAGGTTAAAGCAGCAAGATCCATTGCTGTAGTTTACTTTTATGCACACATATCTATGCTCCCCCCCCTCCAACCTCCATCAACCAGAAGCCACATGGTATGGAGATGCCTCAACCCAGCAGTGGATGGCAAAATGGCAGTGCATGTGTCGTGTAATAACAAGGGCTGCTGACGGGAAGGGGTACTGACAGCACGTCAGCATGAGGAGATCAAAAGCAAAGCTCAGGACAGGGGCCCATCTGGAAGCCGAGAACCCGCTAGTAGGTTCTAGAAGGGGGGCGCGTGGCTAGGGCGGGGCGGGGCGGATAAAAGGAGGCCCGGGACGAGGGTTCGGGGCTGTTGCTGGGAGTGGACCCCCCTCGCCGTGTCCCTGTCCGTCACTTTCGTCGCCGCCGTCTCGACCACCTGAAGACGCCGCTTGCTCGCCAGCTTGTCAACTGTACTAGCTAGGCAGTGCCGTCAAGAGATGCATGTGTGACTGGCGTGTAAGCACGCAGGGCGTCTGTAGTTCCCCGACGTAGACGTGTAGGAATAAAAGAAGGTGTCTTGAGAACCTCGTCTCGGAGTGAGTCACTACACATGTACAAAATGATGGCAGAGAATTTAACTGCGAAAGAAGCCAATGCGAGCCATTCACCGTCTCCATTTTTGAAGATGGCGCCTGTGGGCTCAAGCCCTTCTTCGTCCGAGTAAACCATCCACAGAGGTTTCATTTTCGAGTTCATGAACTTGCACTTCTCCACACTGCACGCACGCACACACACACACACATGCAAGCAGCACCACCACGTGCACGGTGAGTACGGATGGGAATCTTACTTAAGAGCACGCTTAAAATTAGCACGCCTTTTCGGTGCGAGGCTCACAAATATAAATGCTAATTTCACCGCGGGTTGACGCACAGTCGTGAAACACAACGTGGAACCCGCATGCCCAACCGAGTTTCTGACCTCTCACAGCATGGACACTTTTGCGAGTGGCTACACATTTTCGGAGCATTAAGAAGAGCAGCAGTAGGCACAACACAACTTGTTAACCATCCCTACAGGGTTGGTAAATGTAATACTATCTAGTGGGGCTACATCGGTATGCTAGGAATGTAACGGTCCATGCCATATGAATATGAATCCCATTATGGATTCAGGACTGGCAACAGGGAAAAGTTAAATAATTTACTCAAACAAGCTTAGAGCCAAATTGACTTGACACATCAATTAGGTTACAGAACCAATAACCACCTGTCGAGAAATGATATCTTCATTATCCAAGCGATCAAATTACCTGCAACTGCTATCTTTTAAAAATAACTTTTCCCCCCCACTACGTGGATGTACATACGAATACAATAAGTAGGGAAATTGATTACCTTCATATATATATCTGCCGCTCCACGCAAAAAAGAGAATATTTTACACTTCTTGTGAACTGCACGGCCTTTTTGGAGTATGTCATTTCGGCAGTGATTCGATAAAAGAAAACTCTGGATTGGTTTTGACAGTGTTTCTCAGCAGCAGTCAGGCTTGATTAAACCATTGCTGGTGACTACCAGATGTGATAGGTAAAAATCCTCTCTTCAAGATATGGGTCCTAGTCCTATACTGATTGATTGGCTGTCTAACCCAATGGGTCTGCCATAGCATAACTGCATTCCAAACAAAGCAACCCCCAAAAAATATATAACATGACATTTCAGGCAATGGCCCATCTTTATATTAAAAGGACCTCTTCGATGAGAAGAGCCATTACACAAAACATCGCCAATTGTATATTTTCCCCTCTTAAGGGCACACAGTGTTATTGACGAATGTGTCGAGTGTTTGTTATCTGTGCTCGTGCACCACCGGCACGGTTGGCTACGTATTGTGCGAAAAAAGTTCAACACACACACACGGCGGGTATCACAAAGAGCACGCGTTCAATATGCGAGATGCTCACTTGAGCTGGCTGAGGATGACGCAGGGCTTGAGCGGAGACTGCAGTCCCGTGAGCGCCTCCGTGTAGGACGTCTGCCGCAGGGAGGCGTGCATCGCGTCGATCACCTTCGCCTTGTTGTTCGACTTCATGGAACTGCTCTTGACCAGGTCATTGATGGCCCTCATCTTGGTGAGCGCCTCGCACTGCGGGAGTTGGGGGGGGGGGGGAGCCAGGGAGCACGCCGAGGTCAGCCGTCACATCCCCAGCTATGCCGGGTGGTTTTTTTTTTACCTACAGCGTAGATTGAGTTTCCAGCTATCAACCCTGGCAACTTTGTCACGGTGGCCGGGTGGCTCAATGGGGCGCCGTGGTGGCGAGACGTTAACTACCTCGCTTGGTATGCAGGAGATCGTGGGTTCGATCCCGACCCTGTATATTTGGAATTTGTAAGTTCTTCCCGTGGCCGCGTGGATTTTTCTCCGGGTCCTCCGGTTTTTTCTCTCTACATTGATAAATATGCGTTTAGAGTATTTGGCTGCTATAAATGTCCACACAATAAACCACTTCGTTGTGGCCAGTTCGCTTCTGAAAAAGAGCGATATAGCTCGGTGAGCCTTACCTGGTAAAATAAAAAAGCTTGGTTTTAGGTCAAAGCACCACGCTGGCATCAGAGAGATCGTGAGTTAAAAACTAAACCCCTGAATGTTTGAAAAGTCCCAGACCACTGTTCATGGAAGCAGGCCAACGTGCAGCAATGCCAAGACGAATATTACGACCTCTGATTAAACTGGTTTCTCAAGGAGAAAATCTTGAAGGTCTGCGCCCGGTCACCAATGACTGCACAAAACATTCACGTTCTGTTTTGTGACGCACTTACTTTGGCAAAATTTCAGCTCTGAGAATGAATCGAATAAGATTGGTTTGGTAATGGGGATTGTTTAACCATACTTCATTCTTGACCGTGCCCGCAGCAATAATTCAGGCATCACTCGCCACTGATGTTATAGCTGCAGCCATGAAATCAATTAAGCTCATTGGATTTATAGCACAGTAAGTGCGCTAAGCACTGTGCCACCGCTCCAGCCCAGTAAAATTATACATGCCATATAAATCTCAATATCTTTGTATAAAACCGCTTTCATAAATAGCCTCTCATCCCGAAATTCCCCCACCCAAACTGCAATGTGCTGGTATAGCTCATAACTCAATGATCCCCTTGAGTAGTGTCTAGATGGCCAGGCGGGTTTGGTTCCGACTGGTAGGTTAAAAACCGGTTACGGGGCACTTGATGCTTCTACTACTCCATCGTTTGTGAAAACAGTTTAGGAATTTCATTTGTACGAAGTGCATTTAATCACTGCCTCTCGTCAGGATGTTACTTTGATACTGCAAAAGTTTTCCTCTGAAACACAAGGCTAGGTTTCTACTCAAAGCTGATGGGGGAGGGCAATGAAGAAGTGTTTTTTGTTGCAAAGCACCACGTGGTACAGATGAATGGAATGGAAAGTTACATCAGCCAAGACCTTGTCTGCAGCGCAATTGAATCCTTGATTCAAAGCGATACCAAGGGCTAACCACTTGGTGCTTCAATTAATGCTTCAAAGCACTCCAAAACACTTCACGCGATTCGTTTCTTCTCGCCAAACTTAAAAATGCGGGTGGCATCCCCTCATTCAATCACCGCCTCAAAATGCACGCAAGCAACTCCCGACTGCAAAACCATCTCAGGCGCGCCGGCGGTTTGGCGAGAAAATTGAGCACGGGCGCCAACTCGCGTTGCTCACCATCCCACGTGGCAATTGAGGCCAGCAGGGCTAATACGAATTGCCTGGAAGTCGTATAAATCACTCCATTAACGCTACTGATGGCGCGCACATACACACACACACGCACACGCGGGCACACCTGTGGGGAAATCAATAGCAAGCGTTCGTGGTGACCGCAATGCAATCTCTGCTTTGACCCCACGACAGGAGCTGCTAGAACTACTGCGGTTTTCACGGTAGCGCTGTAAAGCTCGGCATGACGTCCAACGGTTCCCCCCACCCCCCCCCCCCCCCCACGAGCGGGGGAGATTCTAAGGGGAAGCGAATGTTCAGTTCCCGTTAAGCTACTGACTGTTTGGTTCCTATTCGGCTACTGTGTATATTGATTTCCTGCTCCTGAAGAAGCTCCAAGCGTGCACAGCGAAAACATCGGACATCGTGCCACACAAGAATCTGTACTCAATCTGAAGGTAGTCTGCCCGAGTCCATTTGCGCTCCATGGAATTACGTGTGCAATATCTTCAATTCGTCGTGACGCAGAGTCGTTACTATTCCCGTGCTGATTTGTACGTGATTTACTTGATTCATTTTGGTGACCCATGTGCTGACTCTTGCAAATGAGGCTCTATTCTGCTTTCTTGAGTTTTCACACAATTAAACGAAATAAACTTGAACAGCGCGCAGTGCAACTCTAAAAAAAACACATGGCGGATGCTGGCGGCTGCCAGCAGCCGGGGGAGGTGAAGTGCGGACGACCCCACCTGCTTCATCAGCGAGCGCACGTGTGCGATGCTTCCGCGGCAGTATGCTTCCAGCATGAGGCCGAACTGCAGCGACACGGCCGGAACGTGCATCTCTGACCTGCGGCGAGCACGTACACGAGCAACTTAACGACGCGGGCAAAATAACGCGGAAGCGGGCAACCTTGAACGTGACGTCGGAGCGCTCGATTTGCAAGCCGAAGGGGCAACATTTTAATTGAGCCGATCCTCGATTCTTCAGCGAATCGTCGCGCGTATAAAAGTCGCGATTCCACTCAAGAAACGACAAAATAGATTTTATGTTACGGCGAAACGCTGTGGCCTCTACAGTGTGTCATGTGTAGCCATCACATCTGTGGTTCTCGACCCATGGCTGTGCCGCCCCCTCCCTGTTCTTTCAGTCGCGGCACAGGCTGCGGCCTGCATAATGTGCAGGACAATGTTTGAATGTGTGCGGTGAACGTTGAATGTCCACCACTGGCTCAGGAATCCCGACAGAGATAAGTGCCGCATTATTATTTGAACCAGGAGAGAATTTCACTCGTGTCTCAAATGCCATAAAAGTAGCGACAACATATATGTTAAAGCGTAGACACTTAAGACATCTAATACATCATACACGCAGTTAAAATAAGGAATCTTTGATGTGAAATCCTCACCTAAGATGCCAGAAAAGAAAGTGTCCGATGCATCTGTTCGCGAGCGCACGTTCCAGCAGGAATTTAGCCAGGTCGCTGTCCAGGTACGGCTCGTATTTGAGAACCTGGACAAGCTGCAGTAGGTACTGAGAGAGTTCGTCATCGCTGGGAAAAGACACGGAAGAAGGTGTGTGGGCAGAGGATGACACAGGAACAGTAAAAAATAATGTTTCACAAATCACCATTTATGTAATCATTCAGATATTCGTGTCACCGTATTCACAGGTACACAAAATAATGTATGAAAGTTAGGAATTGCTTGGCACTGTTATATTGTGTGCGGGTTATTTGCGCAGCAGGTGTAAATGGTTCATCCGGCAGGGCCTTTATCCAATCGCCAGTTTGCACCAGTTCTCCCCAGATCGCTCTATTTTCGCAACGATTGACTGTGAGTCCGTTAAATATTAAACCTCATCCCCCCCCAATGATTGAAACATCCCACAGCACTAATCAGTGGAGTAGTCCATTGGCGTAGCAATGTCAGGACCAATATTACCACCTGCAATTCCCAAAAGAGGGCACTTCGGCGCACTTCAAATCAGCGCGCGTTACCTCCGTTGAATTATCCACGTTGATTTAAATAGCCCAATAAATGATGCACTCATCTTGCCATGTCTCGTCCTCTACGCTCCCAATCTCTACTTTCCCTCTCTGTGCTTTCTTCGCCCTGCGCCCAGTCACGCTTTGGTTCCTTCTCCCTTTCGCTACCCTTCACTCGAACACACTCCCCTCCTCCTGCATTTAAAACAATCTTCTTCACTGACCTGCTTCCGTTCCTCCCCGAAAACATCCAAACTCTTTTCACTTGCCTATCCTACTGCTACTCCCTGCCCCGGTACCCCAGCTATGACCAGGCCTATCCCAACCTCTGCCCCAACCCTTATTACTACCCCAACCCTTATCACTACACCAATCACTTCCCCTATCACTACCCCAACCCCTATCATTACCCCAACCCTTCCTAAACCACTCCCACCTGTCCTCCTTAGTGTTACAATAACTACACACCACCACTTTTAATAAACCCGCTCTTTATCTTAACCACGAACACATTTCGTACAATTGTATAATTATTCCAAAGCACCTTGCACGAGAGCGCTATATAAATCTATATAAGATAAGATCAGAAATATGCTTGTGTGAGAGCCTGAACATAAACCACGGAGCCATCGCTTATGGGATCGTCTAATGCCACCTTCTGGACTCCAGGCTCACGTGCCTTCCGCTCATCGAACGGCGCGCTACGAATCACAAATGACGACACAAGCATGAAGGGATAACGGGGAAAAAGTGTTCACCAGTCAATTCATAAACTGTGTCAACTGCTATTTTTTGAAGGAACCACAGTGCCACCGAGCGTGATCTCCAACCATAAATGTGTGAAAAAACGAATTGCGAGCCAGTGCTGCTGCTACTGCTGCTGCTGTTGTTGGGGATTATCTGAAAAAAAAAATAACATTTTAGTCCACCATCCTTTATGGGCTTTCCGGACCAATGATTTACAGCAGCATATGTTCACGCAGGCAAAACTTTGGACGATTTCGACTTTCAAAGATACATCGGCAGACTCAGGGCCGCGAAATGAATGCCGCTAACTCGCCAGTTCTGCTCGCCGTGCCGTCTACCACAGAAGCCTCTTGTTTGACGGACTCCATCGACTGTCCTTTAGCATCTCAACAAATTATATTAACAGAGCCAAGAAGGCATTGCAAAGGTCAAGGCAGTAATAAAAAAGATCTGTGATATATATAAAACAAACTTTTAACATTAATAACCGTACTGCAGAGCGCCATGTGGCTTCAAGGTGAATGTGTGCTATGATTATCCTGCTATTTGCAGCACTGTGGGTAAGGGGGGGGGGGGGTGGTGCGTGGTGAGTGGTGGGGGTACCTGAGGTGCTGGAGGCACTTGATGGCGAAGGATCGTACGTAGCGGTCGGCGTGGTTCGAGTCCAGCAGCTCAAGTGCAGTGACTGGCAACAGCTTCGGCCAAATCTGCAGAAGCGCTTGCATCTGACGGGAACAATGATAGCACCTCTGATTAGCGCGGTTGGCTACGTACTCTGCGAAATAAGTTCGACATACATACATACATAGCGCTGCTTTAATGCACTGCCCAAGACAAAGACTGCAGTACACAAATTGATGGACTCTTGGCAGATGTGCCAGGGCCTTTGTCCACATTGCAATGTGTGCTGGTGTGCTTCCACGTGCTGGTGAGCTCAATGAGTAAAGGAATAAAGCACTGCTTCCCCACCCATCGGCTCAAGACAAAGAAGTGTTCCTTCTGGCTGAATAACAGCAATGATGATAACAATCATAATGCAGTAAAACCTTGGATTGCGAGCATAATTCGTTCCGGAAACGTGTTTGTAATCCAAAGCACCCGTATATCAAAGCACTCGTGTGTCAGTTGTGATCACGTGACGCTCGGCAGTACAAAGCGTACACGTACTACTCGTATTGCAAGACCTCGCTCGTTTATCAAATTAATATTTTTTTTTTAATTTTTGCTCGTCTTGAAAAACACTCGCAGACCAAGTTACTCGCAATCCAAGGTTTTAATGTAAAGGTAAAGATGGAGCCCTGACACTGCTGGCTCAAGCCACAGCTGGTGAATGAGCCCCTCTACTGGAGAGGGTATGTGGCCAACTACTTCACGATGACCAGACATGTTGAAAGCAGTGAGAGGACCCACACTTTAACCCACCACACGCAACCTGCCGATCGACGATCGGCAGGTTGCGGTGCACGCATTCATACTGCTGGGTCGACAGAGATGGGTGGGTTTAACTAACTAAATCTAGAATTTAACTAACTTGTCAGATCGAAGTGGCAACCTCGAAATTGCGAGTTCAGCGTCTTCAAAATCTTTTTTTTTTACCAGAAATGCCTCACTTTGCATCAAGGATAATTTTGAACAAAATTCCAACGTGGTTTGTTTGTCCAGTTCCTTTTAGACTATTACTCCACATGGAGGAGGAAATAAAAAATTGCCGTAGAAAACCCACGCACAGCGTTGCGCATAGCGTTGTGCAACAAATCCAACCGCAGATGGAACAAAAATACGCTAAGGGGTTGTCCTCCGCATGGTGCAACACCGGGCTGAAAGAGTTTCTGAAGGACGTTACTTTGTTTCATGACAAGGCTCCAGTGGCAACGTAACTGGAATGTAATCATGCTTCTATTGATTAACCGAAAAAGTTGTATGTTTTGTCGCCGGTTCGCTTGTAACTGGATGAGCAATTCGAAGAAAATATGGGAGAGAAATAAAATCCCCTTTCCAAAAATGCAGGCTTGTTCTTTTTTTAAGTTGGCAAAACCTGACATTGAACAGTGATCGCCATCGGCTCATCAACTGTCGCCTTCGCTGCCATCTGCGAGTCCCAATCGATATTGAGCAAGCAATTCCAGAGAGTACACGGCAGTGCACGTTTGCACAAAGTGAAGGGATAGGGGGTGAGGGACCGCATGCCCACTCATCATCCATCCTTCGTGGAAAATCGGCAGGCAACTAAGGGACACTGCAGTGGTAGGCCTGAGTTAACACCTCAGTGGGATTTGCATTGGTAGGATTTGGATGGTTTAGTTTTATTCGTATGTTTTTGAGTGATTTGTTTGCCTTTCCTGTACTTTGCATGACTATCGTGTTTTTGTATTGTTTGTTGTTGTAACATTCTTACCCGCCCCATCTGTGAAAGAGAGCTTTATAGCTCATTGGATTCTTGGGTATTTCGGTAAAGTCAACTAGATAGGTTCAAAGAAAATAAAAAATAACAGAAAACTACGACGTTGCGATCAACGCAAGCGGTCGTCTCCTGACTTTACCGAAAGATTCAAGAATATTAATTTCTGCAATAACGAAAGCTTTAAGTCAAGATTTAGCGAATCGGATTCTTCCAGTATCAAAATAATTTTCTGATTATGAACCAAGGCTAGCTGGGCGAGAAAAGATCGGACGTCATTAACGCCCAGGTGGATTCCTACGATGAATTCGCGAGATTTGACTCTCACCTGCTGCCCGACATACAAAGACAAAGATCCCCCATATAGCCTTTAACAGACTGTAGGGGCAAGTGCTGTTAGCGAGCACCTATGAAGGCCGGAACGGTGCACGAGGGGGTGGGTGGCCAACACCACGCCCGACCGCCTTTATCTCCCTAGTGGCGATGTTTACACACCGCACCAGGTACTCATTTGAGGCTGAGCCGACCTACGGGAGGCCCGGGACCGGTTCAGATAATCGTCACTGGTGTTGGCCGTGAGCAGGAATCGAACCCGGGTCGCCAGGTTCATAGCGCAGCGCGCTAACCGCTACACTATCGCTCCCCACACACACTCACGCGCACCTGGGTCACGTCCTCGTGTTTGCCCCACTTGGTGGATAGCAGCAGCTTGGGCAGGATCTGCGGCACTTCGCGGCAGTCGAGCCGCAGGAACCACACCAAGTCTTTTTCGTGCTCAAAGAGTGGCGAGTTGGACTCGCGCTCCGAGATCTCGCGTAGCTGCTGCATGTGCGACTTGGAAGCTCGTCCCTGTTACGGCATGAGACGGGAGGGGAGGCGGGGGTGAGGGGAGCGGGGGGTGGCATCAGTCGGAGAGTTCTGAGCGCCAAGAGACCCTGCGAATTTTCCGTTGAGGAGGCGAAAACAGCCGAGCATACGAGCATATTCGAATAAAAAAATACATGCGCGTAGATCGAGTAATATGACATTTTATTTTTGTTACGCGTCGGATTTAAATGTTTACCCTGAATCCGTTTGACACGTCTGCAACTTTTTTGTACAATGAGCAGTTTAAAAGTTATTTGTCCGAGTCAACGCACATCACAGGATATGTATTTTCTCCAATGCTGATTCATGTTTGTGCCGTATTTTCGATTTCTCCCCCAATGCAGTAGTTTTTGCTCTCATTTCAGATTTACTTTGTTGCTGTACTTAAATAAATGCAAACTTAAAAAACAACTTTCATTTGAATAAACTGCACTTGTGTGAAAATATATGTTGAATCACAGGCCTGGTAGTTGTCTGCCTCTGCTCTGCTAAACAGACTGGCTAGAGCTCAACATTACAGTCTTAAAATAATGGAATTACTACCCCTCCCCCCTCACCCCCTGTATAATTTGCATATCATTCTGATGAGCCATGAAGCTCTTTTTCACAGCTGTCCAGTAGCAGCAAGCTACCATGTATATGGCCCTTTGTCAACCCACTGCTGCAGGACGTCCTCCATACACTGTTGTCAGTCACGGACGTTGTTTTACCACACTTGCCCACACACTGGTCAATGCTGGTTGGTGACGTTTATACCACATCCTAAATTATGAATTTTTCACACGCACGAGTCGATGCAAGTATCACGAGCATTATAACCGAATTTTACTTGACGAATCAATGTTATCATCGGTGCATGCCCAGCGACTGTCAAAACAGCAAAAATGAAAAATGTTTTTTTCAGAAAAAAACAAAACGGTAATTCGTGAAAGGCCACGAGGCATCCCAGGCTTCAAGGTATAAACCCTGTATTAAAACATAAAAAATATAAATGATTGTGGCTCTTTATTTACAAACAAAGGACGATCAGTAGTGCTGCAGACATCAGTGGTATTATTTCCAGCTTTGCTTCAATTCATCTTCAAAAATGCACAGCTCTCCCTCAAAGCATCTCAACTGACACAGTACCACCACAGCCAAGTGACTATGGTCCAAAATAAACATTCTAAATGCTGCTTCTCACAAAGTGACACTTGTTGTCGAAGACATCGTGATTAAGCCATGAAAAATGGTGATGGAAATTACATTTGGCAGCTTGCTATGAAGGCACATAATTTTCTAATTTTGTGCCCGTTTCCCCCAATGCTTCTACAAAAGCGTAAATTCCACTGTTGCAGCACACATTAAGTAATAGACACAGGCGGTCTGTGTTCACGATGAGCAAAGGAAACGATCTTCTTCCCGAATATATCTCCAAACACCCCCCCCCCCCGCCCCTTTGATGTTTACTGAAATATCACAAGAATTTAAAACTATGGGGAAACATTCATCTATGCACCATGACCACACCAAGCGAAGCCAACATATTTAGTAAAATAAAAATAGAAACAGTTATGCAATACGCTTAACGTCCCTTCAACTCCACACATTGTGGGTGTGTGTGTGCATTAACCGATGGGGAGCGGTATCGTAGTGGTTAGCGCGCGCGCTCCGCAACGAAAGCAGCAACCCGAGTTTGATTCCTGCTCATGACCAATTACAGCGGCGAATGTTTCAATCGTCCTGGGCCTCCTCGAGGTCGACTCAGCATGAAATGACGACCTGATGTGGTGTATAAACGTTAGTGAATGGGGAGACAAATGCAGCCGGGTGTGGTAACGGCTACTTAACCCCAATTTATGTGCCATGCTGGCCTTCATAGGTGCTCGCCAACAGCACTTTCCTCCAACAGTCTGTTAAGGCTATATAGAGGATCTTTGTGTTAGCAGAGGGTGCATGCACAATGCTTACCCCACTTCCACCATTCTTCATATCAGTTGACTTGGCCACTTCAGCGGCCTTCTCAATAATCTGTGGTATGGTGAGAAAAGACAACAATTATTTAATTCGCAATACTTTTGGAATTTCCTTACAGACATCTGCCATTGCAAAAGGCCAATTAATTGAGTAGAGGCTATCCAGGGAACACACACTTCATTCCGATAAACCGCACACCAATCAACGATGCTCCCATGAAGTTGTAATATCACTTCGTCTAAAACAATATAATTTATGAATTTGTGAAACTGCCTTGAAAGTGGTAAACAAGTAACACAAACTCAATACATTAATGATGGGAAGTAAAGACGCGAGAGAGTAGTTTACACGTCAACAATCATTTATTTCTGCACTGCCCTCTACTGACCGCCACGCAGCACAGCCACACTGCCCTTTGAAAACCAAATGCACATGGCGGTTACCCATCCAAAGACTGTACAGGCCTAAACCTGCTTAGTTTACAATACAGTAAGACCTTGGATTGCGAGTAACTTAGTCTGCGAGTGTTTTTGCAAGACGAGAAAAACATTTGAGTAAATATTAATTTGATAAACGAGCGAGGTCTTGCAATACGAGCAGTACGTATACGCTTTTGTCTGCCGAGCGTCACGTGATCACAACTGATATACGAGTGCTTTGATACACGAGTGCTTTGGATTACAAACACGTTTCCGGAACCAATTATGCTAGCAATCTAAGGTTTTACTGTATCTCCACGCGATCGGGCGTGCATCGTGAGTGACGACGTGGTTAAAGGCCTAGCTATGACATCGACAACCGTCGCACACCCATAAAAATCCAAGACAACCGTATCCGCAAGCCTGCAAATGGATTTTTTTTTAATACGCACGTTTACCCAGTTAATCATTATTCTGGGAAAGCATCCGTAAATTGTATCCGCATGTCTTTACGATAACCGGCATGTGTCTTTACTTTTAATTTGGCACCAAATCGGCCATGTAAATCAGGGCATGGATTGCATTTGTCACCCGGGCTAACCCAGGTTTGCGAAACGCGCTGGTGACAAATTCATAATCACGGCGCATCCCCGCCTACAAGAGAAAAGTGATGCACAAATCTTACGAAAATTAGTGGTTTAAGTGTCACCCAAGGGACTCGATTATTACCCCACACGTTACCTACGTGATTCTTCGTTTTTTCTTTTCACAAAACAACTTCTCGCTCTGAAGACTCAACGATTGTACAGAGGATTTAGACATTAATAAACCGAAGATTATCAAGGTGAAAATGTTTGATCAGTTTTTATGACCTCGCTCCAAGGCCGTCAGTTGTACATAGCTCATCATCAACACCATGGCTTTCTGGATCCTTCCAGCCAGAACAGGCCCTAACTTGACTTCTCTACAGCACCATTTACGTAAGCGAGTTAAGTCAACAACAGACCGGACCAGCGACGGGCAAATTTAATTTCTTAAAATGTACACGTGTACGCCATCGCACCTTCTCAAACGGTGGGTAGTAGACGGGGCCTTTGCTGTACTCCGAGAAGGCAATGTGCAGAGCGGCGGCGCTGTCCGTGTTGGGGTTGGTGTGCACAGTGCCCATGGGGTTCAGCATCTCCTCGTCCATGTCATCTGCACCACGAGCACGCGGACGTGGTTAAGACCCACCACCCACGCAGGCAATGTTCATTGTTACCAGGAATTTAGAAATCGCCTGCGCAAGATGTACCCATGCCCTATGTCGATCGTACGAGTGCATGAAGGACCAACCCCCCCCCCCCCCCCCCCCATGCAGTGTCTGTCATGGGCGTGGTTTGACCATCTCTGGTCGGCGAGGGATGGGTGAAATGAGGTTGCGCAGCAACGGTTGTTAGCCGTGGCTGGAAATTTAACTCAGACTATCGGTTTCATAGCGAAGTGTGCTAACCACTGCGCCACTTCTCAACTCCCCATTTAATAAGAGTAACCCAATAAGCTATTTGTGTGATGAACAAATGTAAACTTTTTTCCAGGTCTTGCATATCTAATTTCACAGCACACATTGTTACTGAGGCCGTCTCATCACTAAATTCTCAATCAATATTCCCATTTCAAGCACACCTGATATTAATAACCATAGTTTTAGCTTTCTCCCACGTTTTAAAACAGTGACCATTCACTTACCTATTGCACGTGAATGATTATGTTAAATTGTCCATTCACTCGGCAATGATCGATCATCTTCTTTACATTTTTATATACGTATAAAAAATAATTTCTAGTCTCTGCATGTATGTACATCTAATTACGTCTTTCTAGCCTCTATATTATAACTCCAACTTAATCACATAAAACAATGAATGGCATGTAGAAACACTCATAGATTGCCTAAAAACATCTTGATATATCGAGGACATCAGAGCTTGGGTAATTGTTGACACCAGCTCACCGTCTGGCTACCTTTCAGCTCAGTTCGTCTGTGGTTCCTCAGCGATTGTGAGATGCAAATTGCATGAACGATGCTGCATAAAACTAAACATTTACATGCTATTAGATTTTTCATACGATTGTGAAGGAAATACAATGTGAAAGAGCATCAACACTCCACAAGGTGGCAGTGTCCCCGTCTTTTGTGTCCACTGCACTGTTTAGAGAGATAATTTGTTTTCAAGGTCAAATATGGATCTAATATGAGCAGGCTGTGCACAGAATTAAAAACGCTGCTTAAAATTAAAATCACACTTCGACTTGCCACACCATGAACACAAATCGGAATAAAGCGCCGGCAATTGACACTCTGTATACAGTTACACAAGCTAACTCGATTATCGTGATGACAATTTCATGACGGGAAGGAAACACAAAGCAATAAAAGGCAATAAAACTAAGCTGTATACTGCCTCCAAAAATGCAGTGAATAAAACTGCCCTCTCAAAACTACACAATTCCTCACTACAAAACTTATAAACTAACTGTAACATTTTGGTATGTGGCTTAAAAATAAATATATTGGTTTTTTAAGAGGCACTGAGACTGGACATGGTCACGTAACTCCACAGCAGTTGGGTCACATGGCACAAATATCCAAATCTGGTTCCAGCGCCTGCTCATATTCTAATGCCCTCTCCGGCGGTGTCAACATAGCTGCCAGTGGAAACCACTGCCTGCCAGCGAGTGCTTGCTCTTCCTTGACAGCGTTCGTCAGGAAAATCCTACGTGTACATATCTACGTACATATCTACGCCATGTCTGCTCTCCACAGCAACCGTAACATATTGCATCCTCCAGTGAACCTTTACTCATTCTCCTCTGTCGACGCCATCATCAAGAACCCCCTTCCCCCCAGCGATCAGTGCTGTCGACTCCCTGCCCTTTTTCAATTTCAGCATCAAGACTTTCCATTCTAGCGCTATGATGGACTGCCTACAACGGACTGCCTCTACAAGATATATATACACACCGTTTGCATGCAGCGTATTGAGATGCGGTCACATTTTGACGCCCTGTATGTTCGGATTGTTTCGTGTCGGCAACTTCGCTCATTGTTTCATCTTATAAAAAAAAATGCGTTCAACTGCTACACTGCAGGTCACAACTCCTTGGACCCTGCAATTCCCCCCCAACTTCTGTTTTCCCAAAAGCTTTTATAATAACCTTGATAAATTCAAAAACGTGCTTTCCAGTAAAACTTTGAAAGCGCCGTTAGTCGTTGGCCTGTGCTCAGCAACTATGCTTGAACAAAACAAAGGCATTTCTCAGCGTGATTTTTGGCGCCTCTGGATTGACTCTCAGCGTCGCCAAACCCTGGGGAATCAAGGGCAGAAATTTCACAAGCGCAATGAGGATAATTCTCAACTGCTGCGAGGTTTCGTTGGCGATAAGCCCACAGCACGAGGTATTGCGCTTGCTAAACATGTGGAAATGCATAATACAGGTTTTTTTTAGGTTAGATCGCGTAAATATAAATGTGTCGCTAAACCCGCCACCACCCGACACAGCCAATTAGTTGGGTTTGAACATGCCAATTCGTTACCAGTACAGCGCACCGGTGTGTCAGAGAGCAAATCCACAAACATTTACAATACGAGTACGATGTTTCGCGAGTATTTACAACTAGCGTCGTCAGGAGGACAGCCAGATTTGATGTGGAAATGGCTCTTAGCGGCGAGCCAAGCATGCCGACTTGCTAGCACCAACCTGGAAAGGATGACCATGTATGGAGCACGGCCTCCCCGGCCCTGAGCTGGTCTTTGTAGTCAAATACCATCGCATTCACCCAGGCAATGGGAAGGTCCTGTAGTGGAAAAAAACAAATTCAGACGTTCGGTTCAAGTGTCAAGCAGTTGAGTCACCGGGGTCTCAGTGTACACAGCTTTTTGCAGATCAATGATGTGTCTAGTGTAAATTGACTTGCACCGTGCGAAGCAACAGCAATGGTGCTGTTGATTTGCCGGGCAACAAACAGAACAATAGAAAATATCCAAGGTGTCCTTCATAAAAAAAGATTTCTGATCTCAATCGGTGCTTAACTGGTTATGCAGCTCAGCTACATATTGGGATCCCAATTGGCTATTAATAAGAAAAATTGCAATGTAACAGGTCCCTGCAGGGTGGGCTGGTAGGAACATTGGAATTTTGCGCAATTTTATGACATTGTTATGTAAAATTGTGCAAATTGAGAGCGTCTTCCCACCTTTTTGCCCTCAAAATCGTTGAGGGTTCTTCGGACAAATTAACCTCTGTAGAGGAATGGAATGGTGAAATCCTTATTGACTGAAATCTGCTCATTTTGGAGCACTGTATCATAAAATCGTTAAGGGCTGGGCCTGTAGAGGAATGGAATGGTGAAATCCTTATTGACTGAAATCTGCTCATTTTGGAGCAATGTATCATAAAATCGTTAAGGGCTGGGGCGAAAAATGACAATTGCATTTTAAAATGAGGAATTGTTTCCCGGCATACGGTAGTATGGGGCTTTTGAAAGGGGACGGACGGACGGGGGACGGATGGACGGACGGACGGACACATTAATCTTTTGCAGGCTGGTACACTCAGTTTACAACTTCGTTCCTACCAGTATAATCCACCTCTGGATGAAGGCCTTCTCATGCCATATCAGGTCATAAGGGATACTGGCCATCACTTCACCACACTGGCCAGTGTCAGTTGATGGTGCAGAGCATAGATGTCGGAGCATAGTACAGCACAACGGATCTTGCTGCACGACCCTATAATACGTAGGACTTCACGAACAATATTATTCAAGCCCGCGTGCTAAAGTAGTAACTAACTGGCACATTTTGTTTACGTGACAATCCTTACAAATTGGCTGTGCCGGGTTTAACGACCTATGTATACTTACGCGCTCCAACCCAACGAAAACCTTCATTACTCACTTCCCTATTCTGCCCACAACATTGCCCCCAGCAGCCGACAGCTATTCTCATACTATGGGCTACCACCCATCCCAGCACGATCGGGGCTCAACCTTGCTTCGCTTCCAAGATGTTATCTGGCGCCTCGATGGTTAGATGTTATCTTTGATCGACTGGTATACAGGTCGTGGGTTTGTATCCGACGCTGACGCCTGCTTTAATGTTAGACGTTTGCATCTTCTTCCCGTGGTCGCGTGGAATTTTTCTCTGGGTCCTCCGGTTTTTCCCTCCACATTTAGAAACATGCGTTCAGGGTATTTGGCTGCTGTCGATTTCCACGTGGTAGGCCACTTTTGTTGGGCTACCATTTGTGGCCAGGTCGCTCCTTAAAAAGAGCTACGTAGCTCAGTGGGCCTTACCCAGTTTAAAAAAAAAAAGATCTGTCAAGACTGGGCAAATTCCCTGGTCGCGGGCAGCTTGGGCCGTTATCTCAGGGCAAACGGCGGCACGCGTGAGCACGTGCCCCCTTCAGAACCCCCCCCCCCCCCACCACCACCACGCCCTCGCTCACCGAGCGACGAGCACGCTTGCCGACGCTGCTCTTGCCCATCGTCTTGTCGGGTTTGGTGGCCTTGCCGCGCCGGCCGCTCTTGCCCTCGAACTCGGCGTAGAGCACGAAGCAGAGGCGCGCCGTGCGTGGCAGGTCGCCCGTCAGCACGTCGAACTCGAGCCGCTCGTTCCACGCGAGATCGGCGCTGGCCGGCACTTCGGAGGTCGTCACCGTCTTGCTCAGCAGCTCCGAGCCGTGGAAGAGGCCGGCCTTCACCACCAGCTACGACGGAGAGAGTTTGTGGAATGTGTGCGTGTGCGCGCCGTGTGTGTGTTTGCGACATGCGAGGTGGTGCGTGGGTGCGTTTGTTCGGCGCGTGGAGTGTTTTTGAGTGTGCGTGCAAATTTTTGTGCAGTAGCGGTGTCAAATGGTTTGTTTTGTGCATTTGTATGTGTGTGCATGCGTGGGTAAGTGCGATTGCACAATGCATGTATGCATGCGTGTACACGTGTGCGTTTGTTTGGTGCGCAAAGTGTTTTTCAGCCGGCCAGTGTGTGTGTGTGTGCGCGTGCGTATATAGTGAAGCAGCGTGTGAAATGTTTTGTTTTGTGTGTGCGCGTGTGCCCAAGTGTGCAGTGGAAGATTGTGTGTGAACAGGCGTAAAAAAGGGATTACCTGTCTGCCGAGTACCTCTACCTAGCTGCCAACTGAGCCTCAGGTGCTTCAGGTTCAAGTCCTAATACTCCATAAATATTTACACTCATGAGTCACACCCCTCCCGGACAATAGCATTCGAAGCCCAGTGAGGCTCTCACTGCTCTTAGTTGAAAACAAGACCTAAACGTTATCGCACAGGCTTACATCTTTCAACAGGACAATAAAAGGATCGAATGATAAACAGTGACATGGATGATGGTAACACTCAAATCGCTCGATTGCATTTAATTCACGTGCACAAAAGCACGATGGGCATCAATTAAATGTTTCGTTTAATACCGAGTGCGATACGCACCGGGAGGAAAAGTTGTATGCCACTAGAATTGTTGGCAACACTTGCCAGGAACGTCTTGTGTTAATTTACACATGTGACTGCCCGTTTCTACTGCCAAGAGCAAAGAAAGGTAATGGAGATTTAAGCGATTAGAGAAATCGGCACACTCATGCTGGCCAATGTATGATGTTTTCTGATAATGTTCAAGAGTGTTACGCTCCAATGCACATGATACTTGACAAGGGCTCTTGCTGTGAACGTGACCAAATGGAGAAAAAAATACAAAAATCCAGGCAGATGAGGATGAGATTCAAAGCACTGAAAGATTCAAGTTTAAGTTTTATTATGTTTAACCAGGTGAGAACTCAAGAGGCCAGAGGATAACATTAATTTTCAAGAGTGACCTGGGTTACCAAAAAATACAAAAGAAAAACACAAATAAAGGATAAAAAGAACAGCTGGATTGTTTGTGTCGATGGTAGCAAGCGCCTCCGATGGAAAAACGGTGTTTCTTTGCGATGGCAATAACTCGTTTAGGATGGCCATGGACATGGGGCACATACAATTCACAAGCCTCTTGTGAGCGCGCCGACTTACCGCTTCAACTGCTCAGGCGGACGAATGAAAGGCAACGAGCAACATCAAAGTTAGCAGGGCATTCCAAAACGTTAATCACTAATTGGTCTCTGGATATCCAGTACGCCACATACGCGTCGCTTACAATAGCTATCGCACTGCGACGTCAGCGGGCTACTGTTGCATAACTATCATTTGTACAATATGAATATTTTTTAATGACTTGCAATTTCAATCAGATCTGTAAACGATTATAACAAAAAATAACCTATCATAAACGAAAATAGTGCAGGCTGGAAAGCCATAGGTTTTAAACAACACACGAACAGGTGCACAAAAAGCACTCGGCCTTTGTGCATTAAGAAAAAAAAACATTAGCGTTTCCTGAAAGAGAACCACAATGCACTTCAGAAAATGATGGTTTTTGCATTATGCACAAAGGCCGAGTGCTTTTTACACATTTGCGTGTTGTTTAAAACTTACGAAATTGGAATTTACCAAATACACCTGGACTCTAACATCGCCGGCAACATCTCGTAGATGAGGCTGACCGGGCTTTCCATCAATTTCCTTATCCATGGGTCCAAAGATGGCTGATGAGTCCAAACTGGGACCAATAGGACTCTGGTGCAGCTCGGGCACACATTTCCGAGAGGGATGGGGGGGGGCTTTTCTCTAATGTGACATATACTTTCTCTTAATTCGTGGCTTTTAAAGGTGACATGCAGGCTGCGACTATCAAAAATAAGGCCCCCCCAGCCGCTTTTGCCAGGAGGGGCACAGAATTCTCCGTGATTGAGCGGGCCGTTTCAACTCCTCCAGTGGGTTATGGAAGTGAGTGCGGCATGAAACGAGTGAAACCGGTGCAGGGTGAGAATTGGGGTCGGCGGTGGCGGGGTGGGGAGGGGGGACGGTACCTTCATGGCTTCGTCAGTGTTCACCTTGCTGGCCTTCACCAGGGTGATCTGGTAAGGTGCCGTGATGGACCACAGCAGGTCTCCCGCTTGCTGGGGAGAGGAACCAAGAAGACACTCAGAATCCAAATGACAAATTCTATATTAACTCCTCTCTGGTCTGTACACCTGATAGGCTCACAGTGATGGCATTGCCTTTACTCTATTTAAGACCAAAACAGGAAGACTTCACGATTATGGCAAATTGCATGATGAAGCGGGTTGTAATCACCAGTGAAACATCATACTCCAATTGTAAATGTTGTGAGTTTACTCTCCAGCACGTTTTGTGTCCGTGACAACTTTTACTAACTGGCTGTGTCGGGTGGTGGTGGGTTAACGACACATTCATGTTGACACGATCTAACCCATAAAACCTTTATAATGAAAAATATTGGTCGCGAAAGTCGACGTGCTATACGGACAAATTATTTCCAACACCAACACAGGTCTCCGCAACGTTCAGCCATAAACTGTGCTCGATCAAACCGGAGCTTCACTGTGTACATGTACAGCCCTTTTGACAATCTGCTGCCCAATGAGAGTCTCTCCATGCCATGTGGGTCTGGAGGGGGATAATTGACCATATTTCCCCGCACTGGACATTGCAAGTCGGTGACAGCAGGGAACAGAGCTGTGAGAGAAGAGGAATACAGGAAAAACGAAAAATGTCCCCCGCACTGCGCTTTGATGCCCACAATGCCATCTGTTAAGCACAGTGGTTACCCGCGCAAGCACTGTCCACCAACCTCATATCTGCAAAGCTTCCAGGACATAAACAAGATTGGGCACATTCCGGGTGATGTAGTCATAGTCAGAGTTTGATCAAACCCTCATAAATACCAAGATATAAATGCTAAGAGGCCAGGTCCCATCTAAGCTACTGTAAAAACTGTTCATAAGCACAAACTAGCTGCTATTAATCAAGTTATCGTGGATTATTACCAGACATGTAATGATCTATCAATTAAAAATCGACTCTTACAATGGCGGTCAGTCAAAATGAATGTCTACTCAAATTAATAGTGAGGTGGTGGCTCATCTCCTGCTTACAGTCCTGAGCGAGTGATGGAAATTCCATATTTCTATGGCTGGGGGCGACTCTTTAGAGGACAACCACTGCTGACTTCCCCACTAAGTTAAACTAATTTTATCAACCCTGGAGGAATGATGGGACGAGCCAACCCCCAACCAGGATTTGAACTTACAACCTTCTTTCTGGTTATGAGCGGCTCGTTCTACAGCCAAGCCACCCGGCCAGATACATTGACGATGAATGTAGAGATGTAACATAAAACAATTGATTATTTTATGATTCCCATAAGTTCCATGTAACTGGATCACTCAAAAAATGTAGCCACTAGAGGTACTATAGTCACTTAAGAATAATTTTATTTAATGTGCATATGGCTAATATATAGTATTCTTTTAACTTTATTTTATTTTCCGTATCCATTTACATTCATTGTACCCCAATCCTTTCATTCTTTGTGTCCTGTAAAACGTTTGGATATGCGGTTGCATGTAGACACCTTATAAAATGTCAATTATATTGAATTCATTACAATAAAAAAGCATTGCTTCTTGAAACAAACCATGATCTCAGATGACAACAATTCATTGAGTCGCAAGAGGAGCAGACCATGCAATGCTTAATTAATACAGCACCCTTGATAGAGTTGAAATTCTAAACGACCCCATGCTTAGAGAGTCGAAAGACTTCACCAGTCACCGTATCGTATCAAAGCTAATCGCAAAACACTAAGTTTCAACACCTCCGATAACAACCAGCTTTTCACATCCATTACTTAATAGACGTGTGGTCCACATGTGAAGTAATATGATTTGCTCATGGCCTCATTGGTGGCTCGTGATAGCTGAAGGTTGCTCGGTTGTTGAGCGAGTGGGCTCGCCAAGCAGACGGTTGGGGAGTTCACATCCTGATTGCAAATTGACTCAGTGGATCATCCCTTCAGGGTCAATCAAATTAGTACCACTTCGTGGAGAAGTCAATAGTGGTTGTGCTATGGAGAGAGGCTTGGCCACACAACTGGAATGTGGAAATTCTACCACTGGCTCAGGGCACAAAACAGGAGCTGAGCACTGCTTCAATGCTCACTGCTCATCTGAATAATAAATAATTATCATAAAACAACAAAAATTCCCTAAAGAAACAAAGAAAAGCAAAGAATGTTAGCTGTGTTTCCTCTAAAACAGTAAGCTGAGCCTCCCAGAGAGGTCACCACACTTTGGAATGTGCAGGCGTGTCTGTCTAAGAGGTGGCTGTTTGACTCTCAGTGAGCCTGATACAGCACAGTCTATCAGAGGAGTTCCCAGAAACTAAGTGACATAAGCAGGAAGTAGAACGCTCCACACATCACACTCACACCTGCAATATGTTTTAGTTTTAACCTGGGTACGTACAAAGATTTATAACCCTCAACAGATATATTCATATATGTATACCAAGTGAAGTGTATGACACACTAATCCACTTCGAATGTTCGCTTATGTTAGTATTTTAAACGAGGTATGGGTCAGTTAGTAGTGGAACCATGTACCAAATCGTTATATAATATTGATTACTAAGCTCATGATGGATCACTCAAACGACACGTGTAAGAATCAATGTTCTGACATTTTTCTCATGGAAACGGCTTTTCTCAATATTACAGCCACTGCAGGCGCTGTCATTCACCGACACGTTTTAACGAAATGATTCTGCAGTCGATTCGTAACCCTCCACCGAATCATCGCAGTGTGAATTTGGCTCACCCACAGTTGGAATAAAACAAGCAAAACCAAGCGAATGTGGAAGGCTACGCAGTCTTCCTATCATTCTAAAATGCCCATGACAAAGCTAACATACTTGCATGTTTTCAATATGTATACGATGAACACCTAAAAAATGCATTCCCAAGCACTGATTTATACTTAATGGCCAAGCAAAAACAGCCAGGAACAAGACGAATATCCAGAATCGATCAGATGGTCTTAGCCGACACCAATTATAGGCGATACTTTTAAGGCCAGACCATTCATGTTCGATGGCCAAACGCTCATTTAGTTTGTATTTGTTTATCAATATACGATGGATGCCGCCATCTTATTTTTTAATATGGACAGTGGCGTTTAACAACAGGCAGCTTATAATTTAAAGGTGCCGAGGATAATGCCACAAGACGAATAAGTCATTTTATTTATTTGCACAGTTTTGTTTTTTAACATAGAAATATATTCAAACGGTGCTAGTCATGAGATGAAAAAAAATCCAATTTCAACCCTCAGCGAGCAGCGATGAATGTCAGTGAATGGCCATGGGAAATAAATACCAAGAACTACTTCCTTCTTAACGTCACTTCATTAGGCTTCTAACCCACATGAGATAGAACACGTTTTACATACCCAGGAAAGACCGTACAAGTGTTTGTAGCATGGAAACTAAACAAATATAATTCTCAAGAACTGAAGCGCGGGAATATGCCAAATTAAGCGACAAAGCATGTATTTCTACATACGTTCATTGGCGATTAGGTTGAAATCACAAACCCTCGAGAAACCGGTTTAATCACTGTCGGCTGCTTGGATTCCAACCCGGGAGTCTCAACGGTGCCGGTTCAATGCTCCAAAAGTATTAACCACCACCCCCCAGTCCATCTACCCCGACCGCCTACCAATTTGATTCTCTTGTGCCGCTCATGCTGATGCTGCCGCTGATTACGAAAACGAAGTTGTTTATGGGCCAAAGGGCAGCCCTTTCTCGCCCCCCCCCCTCCCAATGCACCAAACTCACCTTGTTTTTCACAGGCAGGGAGGGTGGCTTGGAGGCTGAACGAGCTCTGCTCACGACCTCCATGTGCGTTTCGGCCTGGAAGAGTTTGGCGATTGTGGAGCTGTGCACCATGGTGAGGCTTGGGTTGGTCTCGGCGTATATACAGTTGCGGATGTACTGCGTCAGCGGACGGGCAGAACGGGTTATGTTGAGAACAGGAAATCATATAGGACTTTAATGCATTATTACCATCGCGTCACAAGTTCACTGCTCATCCTTAGCTGCATTTAAAAGTGGTAATATATTGACACGTACGTGCGTGCGTGTATATGTGCAGCACTTTGATAAGGGCCTCCCCCCATGCCATGTGGGTCACGGAGGTTATTGGACTATACTTCACCGTGCTGGTCAGTGTGGGTTGCTGAAGGCAAGAAGTAAAGATATGGGCAGTGGATTGTCCTGCACTACACTGTTACCCACAACATAGCCCCCCAGCAGCAGCCTATACCACTTGTAATGCACGATGGGTGCCCATCCAAGCACTATCCAGGCTCAAACCCGCTTAGTTTCTGAGATCTGACGAGACTAGGAGCATTCTGGGAGATTTGATCATCAGCAAAATGATCAAATACAGCTACAACACAAACATGACTTGCACATCTCCCTTACGCCAAAGGTATCAGCGTCAATGGGATTTTAACAGGAAATAAGTGACTGTGATATATATATACACATGCAAAACTCGACAGTATTCATTAGGACAATGTTTAAAATGCAAATTACAACTCATCGCATGAATAGCAAAAATAAAATATGTATGAAATTAGACGCGATCAATGAGATTGTGGCAGATCAAACGGGCACATTCATACATTTTTTATCACTTCAACAGAGCCGTCTAGCGCCCTCTGTAATTTCGTACACCTGGTAAACCCCGTTTGTTAACGCAACCACTGGTGAGGCTGCAGAGTTTGTCATACGGTGGGTGCCGTTCAATACAATTTAAAGTGGGGCGTTTAGTATGGAAGTGCCATCAGGAGTGCAACAGCCTCTCTGCTCTTGCACACAGTTGTGGGAAATATTAAGTCGGCATGCAAAATCAACAAGCGTAATGAATCCTGGTTAATACGGGCCCGGTGTAATAGCGTGAAGCAACTAAGCCCAACCACCCTTTCAAAGTCACATAACTGGCTTCAGCGGTGAGTTGGGCGGACGGACCACACGGATCAATTGTACATTTTAGAGGCTAGGAAACCCTGCCCATGTATAAGCGGTAAACTATGACGGGTGAAACAATGTCCAGTGAAAACTGCTACATTCTACAAACTTGTGCAAAACAAAAATCCCCACCAAGTGTATGCACGAACAATGTACAGTTATTCCTCATTTAAAAAAAAGTAGATGCGTTCCTGAAAAGTGCCACGTTAAGCGAAAATGCGTTAAGCGAGGAATTACTGTATATACATTGCGAGGCATGCAAATTTGAATCACATCTGCACTATAAAATCAGCATGCAGCCATCCCATGGCGGGACGAAGAACTGTGATGAGGGTACGCGGCTGCGTGCCGTATCATTCCGGACGTATACTTCCCATAACGCTCAGCCACGCAGCTCAAAAAAGTAATTCGTCAAACTACCGCACAGAAACCGTGCGTTCCGTGTCGTGCCAATAGTCTTCCCGGGTGGAAGAACGAGGTTATAGAGAAAATGTGCTGCGTGAACATGCGTTTACAATGTACTGTATATGTTAATGAAGCCCTCCACAGTATTTACCTTGCAAAACAAAGCCACAATAAATTTTTCTGGCAGCTGTGTGGCAATGTGGGGAGGAAACCAGTTCCCACAAATAAAATTGTAAAAAATCATCACGTATACGACGAGGGGGTTAATACAGCGAAGCTTTCCACGGACAGATTCAAAAATCCAATGCTGTATGTACTGCCATCTCCTGGACACCTCACAGCCCAAGCCGACAACAACCGCTGTCTATTCTAAAGGTACAAACAACCTTGTACAATCTGATACGTACAGGAACATTCACAGAGATTTACCAATTTAGTGGTATGCAATATATGTAATCGTACATGCATATTTGTTATTTTATATCATTTGTTTTAATAATGTATAAAAACAAGCGCATTGTAATGCATAATCAAGTCATGGTTATTAATGTTTTACTCTTACGCCCCATGATATTTGTATCTATCAACAAAACAATAAAACACAATATAACATGTTTTTTTCAAAGCGTCAAAACCTTTGACAAAATGCTAAGTATTTTTTTTTCGAGCACTGAAAATATTGGGAAATAAGAAAATAAAGATATCAATCTCACGTTAATATTATTAATTACCCGTATTGTGCAAATATTTATTTGCACAACACAACATGTATTGGATTGTATTGCTACAAGGTCTACAGATATACAGTTGAGCCATTGTGAAGTCTTCGGGAGTGGGTCAAAAAATTAGTGTACGTGTGACATTTCAAGGGGGGTACGTGTGACATATCTATGGGTGTGCACGTGACATCTCTAGGGGGTGCGTGTGACATCTCTAAGGAGGTGCACGTGACATTTCTAGGGGGTACGTGAGACATCTCTAAGGGGGTGCGTGTGACATCTCTAGGGGTGTGCACGTGACATCTCTAGGGGGTACGTGTGACATCTCTAGGGGGTACGTGTGCCATTTCAAGGGGGGTTCGTGTGACATCTCTATGGGGGTGCACGTGACATCTCTAGGGGTGTGCACGTGACATCTCTAGGAAGTACGTGTGACATCTATAGGAGGGTACACGTGACATCTCTAGGGGGGTACACGTGACATCTCTAGGGGGTTGTGTGTGGCATATCTAGGGGGGTACGTGTGACATCTCTCGGGGGGTGAACGTGACATCTCTAGGGGGTGCGCGTGACATCTCTATGGGGGTGCGTGTGACATCTCTAGGGGGTACGTGTGACATCTGTAGGGGGTACGTAAGACATCTCTAAGGGGCTACACACATGTGACATATCTAGGGGAGTACGTTTGACATCTCTCGGGAGTATGTGAAACATTTCTAGGCGAGACACGCAACATCAAGTTGATTTGTTTAGCGAGCCGAGAACTCAAGAGACCAGGGCTAGTCTCAAACGCAAGAGTGAGCCGAGTCACTAAGCTACCATGCCAGGCCCTGTAATCTCTCTACATCATGCTGTGGCCGAGTGCCGATGGAACAATAATGATCATTATAATGAATTACAGCCCTTTGTTAATCCACTGTTGGCCGAAGGCCTCTTGCCCATGCCGTGCTGTCATAGGGGCTTGATGACCCCACTTCACAACGCTGATCAGCGTGGATTCGTGAGATGGAGGCCAAGGCCCGGTTCGGATATCACTCGCCATGGCAAGGAGTCGAACAAAGGTCGCCGGGTTCGCAGCACAGTACGCCGGGCACTGCAATTGTTAACAGAGGATAGACTGAACCCAGCTGTAAGGACCCCAGCTGTAACCTTCTGACTCGCAGAGATGACAGAAAAAAAACACTATTTGGCAAAACATGTTTTCAAGTTCGCTACAAATTGTAAGCTAAATGGAAAACATATGAAAGGGTGAGTTATACAGCTCCTATGTGGGGGTGAGCGAGAACGGAGTTAATGATTAATATAATACCAGCCAAACTGTGTATAACGATTTCTGTAAATAAATAATTTCTGGAGAGAAGAGCCACAGAGCACAGGTGAGTCGTTGAAACAAGAGTGGGTTTGGAGAAGCATGTGGTCAACTCTGAATGGAAAACTTAATTTCACAAAACTACATCTGATGGCAATAAAGATAAAGTAATAGACATCCCTTTGTAAATCTACTGCTGGATGAAGGCCTCCCCATGTCGGCCACGGCGGTTATTTGACCATACTTCACCATGCTGACCAGTATAGGTTGGTGAAGGGCTGGTGTGGGCTGGTGGAGGGTGGGGTGCAACCCAGGAATGGTTCAGATGTCACTCGCCACCAATGTTATCAATGGTCGAGAAACGAACTCAGGTCGGTGGTTTTACAGCACAGCGTGATAACCAATGCATCACCAGAGCACCCCACAGGTGCGTACATTAACATTACATTAACATTATATTATGTGATATTAATTCACTGACAATGTAAAAAAACAAATCCCAAAAATATTCCCCCGAGGTTTATGTGAAAATGTGGTGATGTGAACAGGGGTCTCCCACAGCAAAAATATAACAGCTGTGGTCGTTACCATTGCACTAACTGCGAACGTGTGTCAGCCGCTGCACTCAAACAAGAGCATTTCTGAAGCCCATTAACTCATTAACTTGTGCCCCACAACCAATGCACAGACCACATGGCTCTCTTCGCAGAGTGTCTCATTTTCCCTCCACATTGCATTCCAGTGAGCAAGTCAAACTGAAGTGGGTACATCAACCCACTTCGTGCCGTTCAATGAAAACACGCGTCCGACTTGTGCATTTGAAACAACAACCAAGTTACAAGCAGCAGCACAACACTGAGAACAGCTGCTGCCTGTATATCTGTATCAGTGTTGTGGTTGGTATTGAGGTTAGGGGTGATGATAGATTCGTGCGGTAGGGTGAGGGTTAATTTTAGTAGCAACGATAAGTTAAAGGGGGCGACTGGTGTTAAGATTAAGTGTAACGTTACACATAGCTGTTATCGATACTGTTGGTAAAGTTTCCAATCAAGTTAAGTTCGTGGGGTTTTGTACATGATCATGAATTATATTAAATGAATACGCCTAAGGGAAAAAAAAAACACTTTGATAAACATTTTTCCCAAGCATCGAAAAAATGTTGGTCACACAAGATTCTGTATGAGGATGAATGAACTAATTAATACAGAATAGGAAAAGTTTGTAGGAGAGAATATACATATACAACTATTGCGAAAGGCTTTGGAAACAAGGAAAACATTGTAAAAGTCCAGGCTTATGGTCGCAAAGGCGAACAGTATTTAAAAGCAAAAACACAAGATGATACAGTGTAATGTACTGAATTGTGGTCAAAGTTATAATGATCGTGCCCGCTGAAAGCTGGGCTGAGGACCGATCCAAGCCGACCACCACCAAGAAGATTTTGGAAGAGCTGACTGGCTCTGAGGCTGATACCTACAGGCCTACCCGGTGACTCCGCCAAACATAATAACAATTACAAATTCGGAGCACATTGTCAATCCACTACTGGATTAAGGACCCCCACTACCCCCAATCCATCCCTTCATGTAATGTTGGTCGTAGGGGATGTTTGGCCATACTTCACCATGTTCATAATTTAACACATTATGTCCCAATGCGCTTACCGCTGTGCCACTGTACCAACCTTTTCGTAAAAATGATCGGATTTTAGATTAAGTTGGTGGACCTATGGTTGGATAGGAGGGAGTTTGCGGTTGATGAGAATGGCCCACAAAAGTGGATATCACAGAGCTACCTCTGAAATCCATTAAAATTACCTAGTACAAAGAGCAAAGGTTCCCACTTTTGTATCCGCTCTACCACATGAGGGTAATGTTAATGGCATGACAGTTAAACCGATATCATAATTCTCAGTGTTGTAATATAGCCAACTGAAGCAAAAAAACAGAATTATAGTAAAATTATTTTCGTGCAGTCATCGCTCAACAGGCTCAGCCTATCAGCTCCCTATGCTGTCCGGGCTCGACCAAAGCAACCGAGCCCTGCCAGCTCAGCAGCGCTCCTGACCTCTGAGCCACCCTGACACCTCGATGACAATAAACTTCACGGCAATGTTGACAGCAAAGATCACAGTCGAGTGGACTAAACAAACACAGTGTCAGTGCTGGGCCCCACCTGGAACTGGCTGAGTGGATAATCCCCATAGATGTACTCGTTGGCCCGAGTCACTTTCAGCACAAAGTCATCGTGCCCCTCGCTCGAGTACTGGGACTGATGAACGCTCAGCCGCTTGCGCAAGGCTTCCGTCTTCAGCTTCAGAGGCAGTGCCGACACAGACACCTGCACTGAGAAGCTCTCCTATGACACGTGAGACACAAAGGGGAAAATCTGGCTCAGTGGAGAGAAGGCATTGACCGCAAGGCTAACCTGGGCACAAAACACTTGACCCCCTTCTCCCGCCACCCATAGCAATCGATGTAGCAGCCTCTAGTGGCTGAAGGGGCCGCATTAACACATTCGTTATGTACAACGTGCACGATTCGAAAAGCATCAATTCTTACACACGTGATTAGATTTGAATATTGTGAGCTCGTGGAATGAATTTTCATTGAGTAATTGAATTTTGCAGCGCATTCTCAAGAACCATTGACTCACTGCGGCACCGATGTCATCAGGAACTGCGAATATTGCGACGAAGACTAAAGAAATAGAGCCTGCGTGCGTCTTCCAAAAGCGATTTGTTAAACTGTCATGATTCAATGACACAACTCGGTTCGAGAATTTGTTATTTTTGGTCGTGTGCTCCTTATCTCGTTTTAATTGTTTCCCACTTTTCTGTCTAGTTTATATAGTTTTAGTTGCTCCATTAACACAAACGTAACATTGTCATACCATTTGTCATGTAATTTTCATGAATACTAAATACATACACTCATGTGTATTATTCGATCCACAAGCTTCGATGCTCAACAATGAATTGACGAAGCATTTTATTCCTCCTAAGCAGGAATGATGCGAAAATTAATCGCTTAAAATGGCTTTTACCGCTCACAAACTGTGGATATCTTTGGGCGATGTTGGTGGTCGGTGTAATTCACTCCCGCTCCGCTGTTGGGGTCGGAGGGGGGGGGGGATGTGCGTGCGATGTAAAGCCTACGGAGCAAGAAACCTGGCTTTTCTCGAAGGAAATGCACACGATGAGGTTGGGTCGGTGGAGACGGTTGCTGCACAGCTCCGGCAGCCTGTCGGTGGGCTCCAGGATGGGCGGCTGGCTGTACTGAAGCCACTCCTGCCAGCTCTGGCCCTGTCGCTCAAGCACCTTCTTCTCGCTCAGCTGTCGCATGTTCGTGCGGAAGTCATTCACCTCGGAGCTCTTGAGCGCATCGAACTCGTGCAGACCTGCACGCCCGTAGACATGCGCGGGGATAACGCTTTAACAACAAGCACCACTTAATTGCCCAGCGCCATATTTATAAGACGACGTCGCGAGGCTGACTCCTGTGTCGAAGCTCGAGTGTAGTGACTTTTGATCGCACGCGAAACAACGATTTTTAAAGTCTTTCTTTGGAACGTTTCATGAGATCAGATGGATCGAAAGTTGTCAACCGGCAGAGTGTTCCAGACTGACGGAGAGGCGACTCGCAACGCTCTGCCGCCCATTACGGTTCAGGTCGACGGAATTACGAGCAAGGATCTGCTGGCCAATCGCCAACGTCCGATCGGATTGCGAACTGCGAGCTATTCAAAGAGATAGATGGCCGAGACTGTTCTGTCAAAGCCCGGTGAGTGACAGATGAAACCTTGCACTCGATATTGTTTCTTAATCTACAGCCATCATCTATCTGCGGCAGTAGCAACGGCAGAAATATTAGCCTGGCAGAAGCTTTCTTTTTTCCGAGCTCAGTACAGCTATGTCAGGCCTGGAAAATATCATGAAAGAGATGATCTGCTAATGTGGCTGTAATTTAAACAATTGTGTCCACTGCTACCTATACTTTATTATTTATCTCGGTCATGAGAAAATGCCGACATGAAGTCATCAGTCTAGACTAGAAGGTATTTAGAAATAAATAAATAATGATACTTCTTGTGCAAAACAACATTCCCATCGTAATGGAAATGAATGCAAGATATAGGAATAATGTGAATGTAATAAAACAAAGTTAAGTAAAACTTCACAGAAAAATAGGCTTGCTAACAGTCAATGGTGGCAATTTATTCGGCACTAATTGTGCCCATATAACAATATACGTATGGCATGTTTGCCGAAACTTCACAATTGCATTGCTGGAATTTCCAACTTCCGAGTGTGTTCGGGGTATGCAATGCAGCAGCAGGCACTCATTGAAGCATTACAATGCCACCTCACATAACGTGTCTATAAAGAGAAAACATGTTTATCGACAAGTGTGTGTACAAGTTTAAGCTGCCAGCGAGTTCTGCGCTATTCTTGTTATTTATCTGGACAAACCACAGCATGGTTTTTCGGTCAGGCCACAGCACACCAGTTTCTACTTAAATTATTATTTATTTTTTTTATTAAAAAAAATACTTTCCACTGTTGGGGCCCCAATGCTGAGATCACTTCCTGCCCGCAACTGGTGTGAAGTCGTCCGATAAACGGGTCACCGCACCACTTTGCACTCTACTCAGAATTAAACAACACGAAAACAGGACCTACGTCACATGACACTCCGGCAACTCCCACGTGCAAAATTCCCGTGCCAGCCACTGAGCTCGAGTGCCAATGTGTGTATCCGAACGAGCAATTAATTACAAGATAACTACAGCGTAGGCTTTCTTATTGTGTGTGTGTGCGGTCATGCTGTGTAGCAGTTCCGATGAGTTTTCAGGTTGTGACGCGTCGTTAGGAGTGATGTCTGATGATACGCGCGACACATTCTGGTGGCTTCTTCAGGAAACTTTGTAAACATGTTGTTGCGTAACGATGACCCACCTCATTTGATACAACTGTTTCATGTAAGTGACGAGATCGGTTAAAAAGTGTTTAGTTTTTACAAGTGTATATTTTGGCTGCTTCATGTTATTTTACATGTTGCGTTAACCTGTACCGACTAGGACATCCGACATCTCACTTCTTCGGGAACTGAACTGCTCAGTTCCTCAAGAAGCCTCACAGCACGTGGAGTTGAAATGTCTCTTATCATGCCAAATGACACGTGATGGAACCCAAAAAACACATTGGAGAGCTAATTAATGAAGATGTATTTTGACAGCAAAACTGAGAATGCTCACACAAGCTCTAATAGATGTTTGGACGTTGCAGTTGAGTGAAGTTAATAAGTTTAAATCGACAAAATCAAAGAAAATCGATTAGATTTTTGTTCTTTTTAAACAAGACTTTAATTGCACCAAGAAACACACCGCGGTGAAGGTAACAGAATGCTTCAGGACTTAACATTGAACTATCTTGGCCACGTACACGACTAAGGTGTATTCAATGTAATTTAGATAATGTTGTCCATCAAAACAATCTCTTAATACTGGATATACCCAGTTGACTGTTAATAGTGGCATACGGAGAGTCTCCAGGTCATTCATTCATTTTCGTCCGTGCTGCGTTTTAGTTACCTGACCATAATAAATGTCAATGTATACGAATGGTTGAATGTCTGGAATACGTTTTTAAACAAGTGTATTTATTTACAATGAAACAAACGGTTTCAAATATTACGGAATGAATGTATTAAATTGTAATTGTTGACCTATCCAATCCCCACTGACCAGTATGGTGAAGCACGGTAAAAAAAAATCCCAATAACCGATATATGGCAGTGTAGTTGTAAATGTAATGGTTTGTCAAGTAACAAATCAAACTGGAATCACCATGGGGGTTGAACGTTCTCTTGTCACTGCGTGCCAACTGGTTTGAACGTCACTCGAACCGACTGGGTTCGCTTATCGATAAAAATGATAATGGCACAACAACTATTCATTGCGACAAGGTAGATGATGTGGTGTTTGTACCTAGTGACAACATCTGCAGCCGTGCAAGATCTAAGGGCTGGGGGGGGGGGACATGTGAGCATTCCAACCCCCCCACCCCCCCAAAACCGAAAACACTGATATTCTATCTTAATTTTTGCCAAAGGAAACAGACTAATTAGTATTTTTATAAATTTCGGACCATTGTTTTCAATCTCAAAATGTCTGGGCCACAGCCCTCGCCTCAACCATGCAAAGCTTCTAGATCCACCTCTTAATCTGCAGCCAAGCGAACACACCCCTCCCGCAGACTACCGTGAATGTGTGAACTCACCTGACCTTACCCTGTGATTTTAATACGTTCAACCGGGGTTTATGATCTCCCATGTTCTTACACGACCTTTGGAGCCTACGCATGTGGGCACCACGTGGTGCATCAGTGGCCAGACCCAGCACTGTAACACCATCGATCGCACAACCACGTCTCTCTGCCACCCCTACTTTGACTTCTACAAGGATCATTGTCACCACTTTCACCACTGCCAGTCTCTACGGATGCCTAGATAACCACTCAAGAGTGGAGAGGAGGACTGACAGCAAAGGTTAGACAGCAATTACTCTCCAAGTAATCCTATAGGACAGCACTGTATTGCGCAAGATAATATCATCTCTCACAAATGTTTTAATTGTTCAAAGTCTACTGCCAAGATATTCATCCACGAAGTGGTCTGGAAAGCTAAAATGACGTAAAAAATCTGTGTAGATTTGTGTGCGTGAGCATGCGTGAGTGCGCGCGCATATTCATAGATACGTTGTGTATCAAGATAACGTGTACTCGTACAGCCCTTTTGTCAATCCACTGTTGGATGAGGGCCTCCCCATGCCTTTCAGTCATGTGGGTTGTTTGACCACACTTCACCACACTGGTCAGCACAGACCAATGAAAGGGGTGCCCAGGACCATTTCAAACGTAACTCGCCACTGATGTTAGCCTTGGCCTGGAATCACACTTGGGTCGCCGGGTTAACAGCGCAAATCACTAACCACTGCGGCACTGCTGTACCCAATCATTATGTGACGCCGTGCTATTTTAATAGATAGGTAATTAGATTTTACAGTTGAGACGTACATTTTCATACAGAATGTGGGTCTTGCTAGTTCATGCAACGGGGCCTAAACAAACAAAAAAATACCACCGAATTGCTTGACAGCAATCGCACGTAAGTTATACAACAGGGCATGTGAATATGTTAAAATGTATACATCCAGCATGCGAACGCGTTGGGCAAAACCGATCCATCACAGTCGCCCACTATTTCAGTGCACTGTGGCGATACCATTACACGTGAGTGCAAGTCGTGTGCACTTATGGAGGCATTCCGACACCGGGTCCTGAAACGGAGCATATGCACACTGCTGCCTTGGCCGCATTAACAATGTCGCTCGGGCAACGGTTAGAATCGCACTCGGTGTTTTGATTACCATCTCCAAAAGGTCGTGCGAACCCAGGGGAAAAACAACGCATTCATCCAAGTGCATAATTGTTCGCGTTGATCAGCCTCTTAACAATTCACACTGCGAGCCTGGTGCGACACTTCAACAAGTGCTGTGATAAACCGCACAAAAATACATGCTCACTAGCTGCCCATAAACAAGCGCTCAGGGTCTGCCAATAATTTAAAATTACTGGCTCTATGAAAAGCTAATGCATTACAACTGAGACATTGACTTAACATGTGCTGTATGAATGTAGTGTAGCAGGGAACACGAGTGTAGCGGTTAGCCCGCCGTGCTACAAACCCGGCGACCCGCGTTCAATTCCCGCTCACGGCCAATACTGGTGACAATTATCTGAACCGGACTTCGGCCTGCCCTAGGATGACTTAGCCTAAAATTAGTACCTGGTGTGGTGTGTAAAAAATATCGACACTGGGTAGACAAGGGCGGTCGGGCACGGTACTGGCCCCCCATCCCCTCGTTTGCCGTCCCGGCTTTAATAGGTGCTCGCTAAAAGCACTCGCCCCAACAGTGTGTTAAGGTGATACGGGGGAACTTTGTCTTTGTACGTACACCTGTCCTAAGTGCATACGAGTCGTTGACAAGCCACATGGCCTTGCTGGGCACTACAGCCCGGCCCAAGTGCCATGGCGATGTCACAGTTGCACTGTAATGCATGTGCGTGCATGCGATGTTGCCATATATGATTAGTAAAGCACCCAGCAGCAGATTCTCTACACACCGTGACACCTTTCGCGCAGCGTCGTCGCTCAAGGTCGTGATGTTACTACCGCCAATGCCATGGATGCCACCACATCTCGTTATCGCTTCCTTCCTTCTGCTAGATTGCACAGCTGTTGTAAAGTCCACATCCCTGCTCCAAGGTCTGCTCTTACAGTATAAGGCCATCTGGATTTACGTTTTCCCCTTGGTCGCCGACCTCTGGGTGCCTCTCAAATGCCTCTCTTGGTAACCTGCCCTCCTCCATCCTGCATATTTTGTCCCACCAAATGCAACCTACCCTTCCCCTTCTTATATATACAATACTTTCCTGCCACATTTTATTCCGAAGCTCAAGTTATTTTCCCTATTCTACAATGAAATTCCTAGCATCCTTCAAATACACATGTGTTCAAGGACCAGCAGCTTTTCTAGCTGCTTAATTAAAGTGCAGCTCTATGACCCATACATTAAGAAACTTTGGACTGAATGTAAGTTAAAAAAACAAACTGAAACCAACACTTAGCATTTAAAGGAGTCCAGACACATATGGCATTAACAAGGAAAGTTATCATTAACAATATAAACCATATTCTTGGTTCTTTCGGTAAAGTCACGTAGAAGGGAAACAATAAAATAATACAAATATTTAAAAAATTTCAGCAAGAAAATTTTCTTGCTGAAAATGTTCTTGCTGTGGTTTTCACACCTGATGATGATTGCTTGTGTTGCAGTCGAAACGTCGTGAGAATTTTATTGTTTTATATTTTTATTATTTTATTGTTTCCCTTCTACGTGACTTTACCGAAAGAACCAAGAATATAAATCCCTGCAGTCACGAAAGCTTTAAATAAAAAATATAAACCATTTTTGAAGAGTAAAGTGATATTTTAATTTAAACAATAAGTGCTCACGTTGCACTATGGGTCAAACAGCTAACCTTTAACAATGAAAAATATATATATATATGACCTTTCAATATAGGTGCATGTGGAGGACACTCGGGATTTTAAAAAAGACCGTGTAAGCAACTTGCAAGTTCAGGAGTGTGTATGTGGCAAGAAAAAAAGTTGTATATTATCATAAATATTAGTGGCAGATATGGAGGATGGACGAGGTCACCACTAGAGGGAATGCAGTGACACTCATAGGTTGCTCACCAAGGTCAAGACCAGACACCCAGCTTGTTGGAACATTGTAAGAACGGACCAAGGAGGTTAGGAGATGTCAACACCTACAGGATCTTCTAGAAGGAAGACAGCAATGGCGATGTGTGGTTGACATCAACAGCACTGGCTGTGGTGAGCTCTCGATAACAAGAGACATGCTTCCCCCCTCGTTAAGCCCTTCCATGCCGATCTCGGGTTTTCGCTTGCGGAGTTTCCATTCCCCCCTTGTACTGTGACCAGTGCTTTTTACTGGGCTCGTGTTGAGTCGTAATAATATATTTTTAACACAAGACACATGCACCACTGTGGCAATCAGGCTGCTCAAAAGTCGTGAGCGCTGAGCTGGCACTACCACGAGCACCTGGGTTCAATGCTGGAACACTAACACACTGGGAGAGAGTGTAGCAGGAACGTATATACATGCAGAACTTCTTTCGCACCATGCGTAGCGAACCGTGGATAATCGGAGGTATGAACGTGATGGGTACAAGTGGGATAATGGGAGGTAAGAAGGTGGAACGCAGCGGCGCACTGGCACACACACACACACGCGGAGAGCGAGGCAGCGGCGAGAGAGCGGGGGGGGGCGGAGGGGGAGAGGGCTCACCGCGGCCGATGAGAACGGAGATCTGCGAGTTCTGGAGCCGCTCGACGCGGTCGCCCTCCCGCAGCACGAGGCGTAGCATGGGGAAGCATGGCCGCACGTCGCAGAGGCGGCGGCTCTCCTCCTCCAGCTCCTCCTGCTCCGCCGCCTGGTTGATGCACGTGAACACGTAGGCCTCGGGCTCGTTGAGCAGCGAGAAGAGCGGGTACAACTTGGCCTGGACCCACACGAGCTGTAAGCCATGAAGCGGAGGAAACAACAACAGCAGCAGCAGCAGCAACAACAACAGAATGAGTGATCAGTTGGAACAACGCTAGCCGCGCCAGGACAAGTGCCATGCCAGCCCAGCACGGCTCAGAAGGCGCCAGGTTGTTTTTCCACTGCAAAAGCTGAGCCGAGCCACTGACACCACACGCAGTGAACGGATGTATATGACGTCGTGTCGCTGTATCCTCATGGCTTACCGACTCATGTCACGCGCAATGATCACATCATTAGCACCACCCCTGGCACTGCCTGGCCTTGAGCCAGATAACAATGTCTTGTGAGGACAGTGTATCATAGTTTGGTTCTGACTCGGAAAAGCAAATCGCCAGTGGAAAACCACCTTGAACCGTGAGGGACTCGTGCTGGCTTGGCTAAGATGTGACAATGGAATGTGGATACTAGTGTAGGTGTATGAGCGTTCACAGGCACTGGATGGGACGCTGGCCTATGGTGTGTTGAGTCTCGGCTCCAGCTGAATATTTAAAGGTAATGTTGGAGGGCCTCCTCCCACACCCACGTAGATCGTGGAGGTCATTTGACCTGAAATCCCCACGCTGTTTAGTGAAGGTTGGTGAAGAAAGCGAGCAGAGTTGTGGGAGTGGAGAAGTGCAGTATACACATAGAAGTAGAGTACAACAATAGATTGTGTTGCATTGCCCTCTGCTGCCCACAACATGGTGCAGGAGCAGTCTATAATGCATATCTTATGCATGATGGTTGCCCATCCAAGCGACTTCATCCTGCATAGCTTCCTAGACCAGATAAGACTGGCTGATTTGGTTATGTACATTGGTAAATGGGTAAATAAAGCGTCGCTTTGTGTTTTTCAACAGTTGCCGAAGCAAGATTCATCTGTAAGAGTGTTGCTTAAAGATCCTCTCCAATACAATTTGCATCATAAAGCATCCCCATTGTGATATTAAGAGGCTGTACAAATGTGGGAGGGCAGATCTCGGAAGGCAAAGTGTTTTAGAGAAGGGTTATTTTTAGACGAAGGAGAAAAGTAGGAGTGATGATGATGATTATGATGACGTATTTTCCAGGATGTGTTAGCGCATATTGAAGTCAGGCGTCTTCGATAGAGTTGCAATTATTAGGAAGCTGATGTGAAATATTGTTTGTCTTAAAAAAATAAACCACGTTGTCGGTGTCAGGCACTGGTCAAAGCCTCACACCCAAGCTGGCACAACTATGAGCAGCACAACAACGACACAGTGAAAACAATCCACTGCGGTCTGGTGTTAAATATGCAGGTATTAAAGCCATTAAAGCATCAACTTGACTCATGAACTTAACTTGAACAAACGACAAGTCTGAATAATTATACTGTGCAAAATAAATGTTACTTTATTATTATTGCACGTGTTTACCCAAGAAAGCCTCAGAGTGTCGAGGCTTTGTTCAGGAGGGTCCCACAATGGGACATTTGGCCAATATCATGAATGAGTGTTTGGATTCATACGTGGGGAAGATAAAAAACAAGAGTATATGGAGAAAATCCATACCTCAAAACTCCGCACGGATTAAAAAAATCCACTGCTATACTGCCATCTCCTGGCCACCTCATAGCAAAAGCCTGTAATGCCTCTAGGTAGCCACCAATCCACATACCAACCAGGCACGATCCTGTTTAGCTTCCAAGATGGGGTGCATTCAGGGTGATTTGGTCATCAGCAGTGTTACCCACTTATATGACACTCAGGTGAATCAATGCAGCAAATGGGAGAGAGATATTGGCTTTGTAACTATAGCGCTGGAGAAGACATTTGTTTTTTTTTATCCCATGGACAGCAAAAAGAACCAGCAAGAGTGTTTCCCAAAAGACTGGTGAAAAGGCTAGATCATACACTATAATAAAAAGATGGAAGCTGAAGTATATTTGGACACACACATGGCTGGAGGTGTGATGGGGAAAACTGGAAAAAAAGTTGATGACATTTGGTAAAGAGAGAACAAGAAGCACGGCTAGACAGAGACTAAGATGGACGGATCGTAAGCTAATTTTACCGGGAGGACAAGAGTACACCGTCGCTTATCCGACTCGCTGGAGACTGAACGTATAAGAGGATATGAGCAAAGGTCATACAGTGAAACCTTGGATTGCGAGTAACTTGGTCTGCGAGTTTTTTTGCAAGGCGAGCAGATTTTTTAAAATAAATAATAATTTGATAAACGAGCGATGTCTTGCAATACGAGCAGTACGTACAGTATACGCTTTGTCTGCCGAGCGTCACGTGATCACAACTGAGCCAATGGTTCTTCTCTCTCTCTCGCTGCGGGATTGTGGGTAATCATCTCCCATGCTCGGTCTCAGTCGGCGTGCCTCACTCGTATAGTCAACATCCGTGCAAGCGTATACAATAAAACTACAGTATAGTGTTGTGACTACGTGTGTGTGCGTAAAGCATTTTTTTTTTATTTTGTGTCCAAGTGTAGTGACTGTTCTTTAGTAACTGTACTGCAAGTGAAAGTCATCCTACACAATAACCCTCCTCCTCCTCTCCTCTCTCTCGTCTCCCTCACACCAGCCACGATTAATAAAATGTAATTAATACATTTTATTACTTTATATTAAATTTAAATAATAAAAAATATAAAAAGGTATTTTGCATTAATCATTTTTATATGAATACAGTATTTTTGGGTTGTGGAACGAATCATGAGCTTCCATGATTTCTTATGGGGAAATTCGCTTTGATATACGAGTGCTTTGGATTACGAGCACGTTTCCGGAACGAATTATGCTCGCAATCCAAGGTTTCACTGTATTTGTGAACGTCTATAAAATGACAGTTACACCACCGTGCACAAATAGGCGACTAGACACAAGTAAAACGCAAACTACTGTACACGTGGGCAATTGCTTTGTCATATGCGATGTTAATGATACATTCACGTTTGTGAAAATGTGGATTTGTAAACGTCTACAGGAAATGACAGTTGTACCATTCACAAATTCTGAGAATTTATTTGATGAGAGAGGATATGACGGTAGCATATGAGAAGCCGCATTGTACACCGATGTTATATAAAATCCAAAAATTGACGAGTGGAGGAGCTTCACCATCAAGCTGACAAATACTAAGTAATGAGTATAACGAAAGACACACAGACATAGACAGAAAGTAAAGAGATGGCTGTGAGAGATTACCACAGTGCTAACAATGCTGCCCGTGGGTTTCGCCTCACCCGCTTGATGTTGCCGATGGTGGCATCTCGAGGCACGCTGTGCGTGAAGAAAATCCCCGTCGGCAGCAGGAAATCCACCAAAACGTCGCTGTTATCGCTTGCCGTCCACTGATCAAACGTGTAGTCAACTCCCGGGGGCATCTTGGATGGCACGAAGGCACCCCCAGTGCTGTCAGCTCACCGCCGCCCTAGGAGGAGGGAAAACATCGGTGTGGCATGTCACGCTCATTTCAGTCCCTCCGCTATCTGTCGCGAACGGCAAATGACAACACGGTAAAAATACCCAACTGCACTACATGATGTCCTCCTACGAGAGCTGCGATAGCGACCGACCGGGAGATTAGGACGTCAAAACGTCCCGCGGGAAAACACAGATCAGTCGGCGAGACCTTTTCAAGCGGGGACGGATTTTACTTTGCAGAGACGATACTTGGGGGAGATACGCATCCGGAGGGTATTTTACCCGTCACTAACCAAGCGTTTGTCAACGCTCCAGTTATTTAGTCTGCGGTCTGAGGAAGTCGGTCGTTGTCGATTGCTGACAGGACCCTCCCCAAGAGTAGCAGCTGATGCGGTCGCACATGTCACATCCCAGGACACACGCTAATTAAAAACATTAAAATAGCGCGCATGAACAGCACGGTGCATTACAAACAACAATTACTAATACACAGAGAGACTCGAACTCATTCTTAAAAAGCTTCTCTTCTTTTTCCACACCACCCTTCAGGCGGTGTGACACGCGCCGCTATATATTTGCGGAGAGCGCTGCTCTATATTTTCGGGAGCGGCGGTTTATCGCACCGCGCTGCAAACCTGGTCGCCAGAGTTCGATTTCCAGCCTTGACTGACGTCGGCGGCGAGTGATATCTGAACCAGCCCTGAGCAGCCACTTTCACCAATCCGGACTAACCCAGTGTAAAGGTATGGTAGTTAGAACCCCATCTAACCGCTGGATTTATAAAACGGGCTGTAATTTCTAATTACAGTTATTGTTGCAATATTTTACGTGAATGAAACCTTCTGCATTTGTGGAAATCCGATCAGGACAGAATGGTCTGCTCTTCTGAAGAATTGCGTGCAATGCCTTGCACGCGTGGTACAAGGAAGCTGGAGGGATAGCAGGCTTCCCTTCCCTACCAAAAGGATGCCGCACTTCTGTTTTATGGGGCTTTTCTGCTGAAGATGCGGATAAGCCAGACAGAAACACTCAGTTTACGGTTTAAGTGGCATTAAGCTCAGAGCAACATAGGCCAACAATTGACCCTGTTTCTCTGTACAATGGGCTGTGTGTATACACTGGGAATGTAACAGCAATTGCAAACACAGCCCTACTATGATGTGTTTTTGGGTACAGCACAACCACAAAAAATGTACGCAGTGATTACGTAGACTTATTGTACAGAAGAATGGCAGGTTCGATGGCACATTCTTGGTAAATGAAATCCCCAATATGATCAATATTACCGGCGATGATATTTATTTTTTATGCTTAAGCCAAACAAAACCTAACTTCGCTACAATTAATATGGAAAAATGTACAAAAACATTAAAGCTATAAGAACAAGTAGCAATTGTTTTCAATGTTGAAATAAATACCCCAGCCAGGCTCTTAATGAAATATTTGCACTGTTATTTAAGAACAGAAAAACACACGATGTCATCGTAATTTTTTTCTTGTTTTCAATGAATAATACCCTGTTCAATTTGTGAGAGAGAAAAAATCCAGTCACAAAATGACACTATTATACAAATGTAAGTAATAATCAACTCCCAGATGTCACCTTGCATGGGTAAACATAGAGCCTATGATTTATTAATACGTATTAAATTCGGCTTACTTATAGCCTTCACCAACCCGCACCGACCACAATGGTAGAGTACGGTCAAATAATCCCCGTGACCCGTGGCTTGGAAGCAACTCATCCAGCAGTAGAGTTACCAAAGCACTGTACATCTACTATACCTATAGCACTGCTCTGGTAGTACAGTACTGTAACATTGGAACGCATATACTCTCTAGATGTTCAGGCCTGCAAAGCCATATCGACTAACCAAGCAAAATATATTCTGATGCGAACGATGCATCCATCGAAAATGTCCTTGTGAGAAAGCATGACTGCCATTTTATGCAAAATAATGATGTATTACTGCAAATCAGGAGAACATAGCTGCACGACTCCAAAAACCCCAAAAGAATAACACAGTAAAACCAGGCAAAAATTATTGACTCCTCAATAGAATCATGACCCTGAATGGTGACTATTGATCACATCGATAGGAAAAGTCGCACGCCTAATATATACGCATACCTTTACGTAAACAACGTTATAAATGCATACGCGTGCACCTGGAACTAATACCTTAAAATGCATCAGTCGCGAGTACTATCTGAACAGGATCTCTACACCTTCACCTTCACTAATCTGTACTGATGAACATGGTGAAGTTATCCTGGAGAAATCCGATGAGCTATGAAGCACGTTTACACAAATGTCCAGTAGTAGTCACAGATGTCCAAATAACCGACATAGCCCTTCCTCCCGCAGTGGATTACAAAGGGCTGTGAATTATTCTTATCACATTGAAATATGCAGTGTATTCTGCCGTGGTGTAACGGTTAGCGCGCTGGATTTGCAATTTAGACATCGTCAGTTTCTATCTCCCGGCGGCGCAGCAGTTTAAACAATGAGCAAGTTCCTTACTTAAATTCCCCTGCTTCTGTCCACCCAGCAGTCCGAGTCAATCAGCAGGTTACTGCAGTGGGGTGAATTGTGGGTACTCCTACCTCTTCCTAGACATCTGGCTGGCATGGAATGAGGCCAAACACTCTCAACAGGGGTTCTTTCTAGTTTCCTCCCGTTGAAGCCCTTACAGGGCTGCACTTTTACCTTTTTTTCCATGTATTGTAAAGTGGAAGGAGAGTTCAGTTGGTAGATTAGGGGTTTCAGAATTGCACGTTTAAGAGTTCAAATACCCACCGGAATCACAACCAAAACTATAATCTCTCTTCAGCCAGCAAAAACGTACAAATATCACTGTGCCAAGCAAGCACTGAACTATGTCAGCAGTGGCTTTCTTCAAGAAATACTGGTTCCGATTATGACAACATGCAATTAAATCACTGGCTCAGGATCACCATCGAAGATAAGGACCGATCAAAGGAACATGGGAGGAACTTTAACTGTTTTAAGGTACAACCCTTTGTAAATCCAATGCTGTATGAAGGCCTACCGACGACATGTCATGGGGGTGGTTTGACCATACTTCACCATCCTGGTTCAGTGCAGGTTGGGAAAGCAGTGACCTGGAGCTAGTTCAGATATAACTCAAAACTGGAGTTTTAGCCGTGGCCGGGAATCCAAGTCGGGTAGCCGACTTCGTAGTACGGTGTGCTTACCACTGCACGATCGCTGCTTCACCCCCCAATTATTATTTTTACACATGTGGGTACGCTCCACGCAATCACCCTCCCACGCCGGGTTGGTGAATAATTTGCCTATTAACCGATCATCTTTCCACAATTCTATTAATTGTCATAAGCCGAGGTCACAACTTTTTTTTTTCCCACCGTCTCGTTTGCGTCGTCCGCCTTTTTGTTGGCTTTGCCTTGTCCTGGGTTTGTTCCCTTAGTCTAAAAAGTGCAATACATTTTTTTTTGTTTCCGCTTTACATTCATTGAACACAACTGATTCTTAGACACACGATTTAATGCGTGTACCATGAGAGTAGGAATCGACTTTTAATCAATAAAATGATTCATCACACCTCCCTATTAAACACATCAGTTCACAGTAGACCGTTGTATGTGTTGGGCAGCAGAGATAACCACAGAAAATCCATTGCTTTACTGTACTTCTATATTCCCACATCACTACCTGACCACCCGCCTTCATAAACCCACACCGACTAGCGTGAAGGTCAATAATCCCACATGACCCTCGATGACACGGGGAGGGACCTCACGACAAGAGTGGCATGACAAAGAATTGTACATGTACACACACACACATGTGTACACTTACACATGTAAATAAGGTTGTGCACGCTTGTAACCCGGTGCTATCCGGACAGAGTTATTGGAATGCACAGGTGAATGTACCCCACTTGAACATTAGCAGGTGGCCTATGGAAGGTGGCGCAGTTGGTGAATTGTGTACTTTTTGTGTAGATTTATGAGTGTTTTTCTCCCAACTTGTACGCATTGGCTTTCTCCGTTCACCCCCCCGCCTTCCCCCTCCCCATGCAAAAATAACCAATTAAAAACTAGCCAAACACTCGAAGCAGTGGCAGAACATTCTTGTTGATGTGAGAATGTATGTACGTTGAACTTCTATCGCACCGTACGTAGCCAACCGTGCTAATAGGTTTATGTCACTGTTATTACGAAAATACCGAGCTAACTTGCACATGAACCTAACTTTTTCTGGTGCCTCTTACTCTCAATACTTACACTGTTTTTTTTGTGTGCGTTTCATTCACGACCATTATATACCTCGTTTGATAATTGTGCAATATTCCGTAAGGACCCTGTGGTCATCATTCTCTGCAATATCGGTTTTTTTTGTCTTTGTTTTGTTGTTGCTGTGATCACTAACCACGGATCTCTCTTGTAAAATAGCCGGGCAACTGGCTAAACGAAATCATCCATGTAACAAATAAAATGAACTCAAACTAAAATAAATGTCACGGGTAATCAAATAATTATTGTCCCTACTACTCGTAAATGTATATTTAGTGCATATGTATATGTAGGTAATGTGCTTATTAAACTACTCAAAATAGAACTGTGTTTAAAAAGGACACATCCTGTTGTTACTGTAAAGTCTGCTTTTACTATAAGAACGTTTGACTTCCTCTCTGCGCGCCCTGCACTTACAAGAAATGTATTGCGAGACTAAAGAGTGCAAATAAGAGAGAAAAAAAAACACTTCCTTGCATTAGTTGACACCGTCGTCCAAGAAACCACACTTCTGACCAATTGCCAGATTGCCGCGGCACGATACAGGGCCCGGTGTAAACGCGCACAAGAGCGAAAGCGAGCCTTTTCCGCATTTTACTATATTTAAAACGCGCGGACGGAGAAATTGCAGGCAGGCAAGCAATGCTTGCACCGCAAACGAAAACTGCAATGACCATTTTTTGAATTGGTTAATTGTACTTCAGCAAATACATACTAAATCATACC